AGCTGCTCCATGCAAAACCATTTTGAGAGCGTCCTGCAACCCAGTTGAGACTGTCCATCCAACACCAGTTGAGAGGCCCATGCCAACACCATTTTGAGACGGCTCCATCAACAACCAGTTGAGGTCTCCATGCCAACACCAGTGAGAGCTGCTCCAGAAAACCCCAGTGAGAGCCTCCCATCCCAAAACCCCAGTTGAGAGCGCTCCATGCCAACACCATTGAGAGCTGCTCCTCCCCCAAAATTAACGATGAAACCCCAGGGGCCCTTCCATGAAAATTAAGGTGCTTCCCAAAAGTTGGGCTCTTTGTCCCTGAGTTTAATTTTCAAAAAGGGCCTCTCTTAATTTTTTTTCAGGGTTTTTATTTTTTGGTTTTTTTGAGATTTGTTTTCAAAAAAACCTTTAAAAAGGTGCATAGATTAGGTGCGGTTTTTAGCCACCGTAAACCTAAGCCATACCGGGTTTTTTTATCTATAGCCTATAGCAGGGTTTTTAGCCTATACCTATAGAACGGTTTCTATCCTATAGCCTATAGCCCCCCAAAAAGAAAACCCGGTTTTTCCCAACTGGGGCCTGTCTTTTGGACACCGGGAAACCAGCTCCAAGTGTTATAATTTCCCCGCAAACAAGAGACACGTATGTATAAAAATTAAGAAAGGTTTGAAAGATTATATTTTTGTAAAACATTCTATCTTTTTGGGCTTCTTGCGGTCTTTTTGCAGTCAAAAATTTATTTGATTATTTCCGGCCCCCCGACCATCCCCCAATAAATAAACGGCCAGTGGCTGGTCTAGTTTATGATCCCTGCCCTTCGGGTTTGCCGATGGGGGCAAAAATTCAAAAGATTAAAGGGTTAAAATATTTTAAGAAGAAAAAGGGGTTTTATTTTTGGGGTAAAAGGTTTATGGTGACTGAAATAATTAAAAAATTTGTTTTTTAATCCCGTGGGCCCCCGGCCTCAAAAAAATATCCCCTTAGTCAACTGTTTTGACACCGGTTTTGGGGTAAAAAAAGCATTTTTGATGCAGGTCCTGTGTTAAATATCTGGAACATTTTTACTCAGCAGGTTCCTGATGTTAAATATTTTGGAAACATTTTAGACTCAGCAGGTTCCTAAAATTTTAAAAATTTTGGGAAACATTTTTAAACTGAGGGTTTTGGTAAAATTTTTGGAAATTTAAAGCATTCCGATGAAAATTTGAAATTTTTAGAATTGCAAGGGTTTCCGATGTTAAATATCTTGGAAGCATTTTAGATTTCAGCAGGTTCCTGAGTTAAATATCTTGGAAGCTTTTTGACTTGCAAGGTTCCTGATGTTAAAATTTCTTGGAACATTTTAGCTCAGCAGGTTTCCCGAGTTTAAAAATCTTGGAACTTTTTAGACTCAGCAGGTTTTCCTGATGTTAAAAATTTGGAAACATTTTAAAAACTCAGCGGTTTCCCAAGTTAAAAATCTTGAAGCATTTTTGACTTGGGGAGCGGTTTATTAAATTCTTGGAAGCCCTTTTTTAATCGAAATTTTCCGAGTTTATTTAAATTTTAAAATTCCCAGGGTTTCCCGATGTTAAATATCTTGGGAACTTTTAGACTTCAGCAGGTTCCTATGTTAAAATCTTGGAAGCTTTTTTTTAAATCAGCAGTTCCCGATGTTAAAAATCTTGAAGATTTTTAGACTCACAGGTTCCTATTTAAATATCTTGGGCATTTTTGACTAGCAGGTTTTTGATGTTAATATCTTGGAAGCATTTTAACTTGCAGCGGTTTCCCGAGTTAAAAATTTGGGAAACAATTTTGCTAGCAGGTTCCCGTTTAAATCTTTGGGAAACATTTTTGCTCAGCAGGTTTCCGTTTAAATATCTTGGAAGCATTTAGACTCAGCAGGTTCCCGAGTTAATCTGGAAGCATTTAGACTTCAGCAGGTTTCCCGATGTTAAAAATTTTTGGAAGCATTTTGACCGCATTTTTTTTTTCCTTTTCCGAGTTTGTTTAATATTTGGGAAACATTTTTGACTCACAGGTTTCCCATGTTAAATTTGGAAGCATTTTGACTTCAGCAGGGCCTGATTTTAAAAATCTTGGGGAAACATTTTTTAATTGGAGGTTCCTGATGTTTAAATTTAACTTTTGAAAGCCATTTTAAACTTAAAAAGGCAGGTTCCTGATTTAAAAATTTTTGGAACATTTTAGACTTCACAGTTTCCGTGAAATAACTTGGAAGATTTTCTGGGTTTATTTAAATTTTTGGAAGCATTTTTGATTTAAAATTCCCCGAGTTTTAATTTTGGAACATTTTGTAAGGGTTTTAGTTAAAATCGGAATTAATAGCAGTTTGATTTTTAAAATTTAAATTTTAGACTTTAATTCCTGTTTAATATTTGGGATTTTGAAAAATTTCGAGTTTGATGTTAAAAAGTTTATATTTTTAATTTGGGGTTTGATGTTTAAAAATCTGGAAATTTTAACTTGGGCCGGGTTTGATGAAATTTTAAAAATTTTAATTTTCCCTTTCCTTTTAAAAACTTGGGGCAAAACTCAGCAGGGTTTTATTTAAAATCTGAGATTTTTTTCCCAAAATTTGGTTAAAAAAGGGGCATTTTGATAGCATTCCGATGAAATACTAGGAACATTTTAAAAACTCAGAGGCCTATGAAAATTTGGGAAATTTTAATAGGGTTTGAAAAAAAAATTTTTCCCAAAGCATTTAACTTTTCCCGCACCGAGTTAAAAATTTTGGGGGCATTTTTTTACCAGAGGGTTCCCGAGAAAATCAAATTTTGAAGGGGGGGAGTTTTTTTTAACATTTTAATCGCATTTTGGTTAAAAAAAACTTTTTAACGCAAGGCCTAAAAAACGGGAATTTAGATCAGCAGGCCTATTTAAAATTTGGGAAAATTTTAAAATTGACAGGTTTGATGTTAATTTTGGAATCATTTTGATTTAGATTTTTATTTAAAAATTTTGGAAGCATTTTGCTTTTACAGGCCCCAATTTTTAAATTTGGGCTTTGCTGCAAGGTTTTTTGTGTTAAAATTTTGGGCATTTTTCCCCCACATTGATTTAATTTTGGAACATTTTTGACCCGCAGGTTTGATTTAAAATCTTAACATTTAGACCCCCCACAGGCCCGGTTAAAATTTTTGGAAGATTTTGATTCACGGTTTTCCCCGGTAAATACTTGGAAAATTTTTGATCACAGGTTTGAGAAAAACGGAAAACTTTTGATTTCCCGGCCTGTGTTAAAATCGGAAAACTTTTAGATTTACAAAAACCCCATGTTTTAAAAACGGAAGCTTTAAAACCCCAGGTTTTGAGTTTAAAAACTTGGAGATTTTTGTCACAGGTTTGAGTTAAAAACTTGAAACTTTTTATCAACAGGTTTTGATTTTAAAAACTTGGGAACTTTTTGATCACAGGGCCCATGTTAAAATTTTGGAAGCTTTTAGATAGATTCCGGGTTTAAAACGGAAATTTTGACTCAAGTTTTCCGTTTTTTTTCGGGGCTTTTTTAAGAACAGGCTATGTTTAAAAACGGAAGCTTTTAGATTAAAAAGGTTTCCGAAGAATATTTTTCATTTTTTGATCACAGGCCTATGTAAATATTGACTTTTAGATCAAAAGGTTTGAGTTTTAAAAATTTTAAATTTTTAAAAACTTCCCGGGGTTTTTAGAAATTTTGAAACATTTTTTTAAAATTCAGGGTTCTGATGTTTTAAAAAAAAAGCTTTTAGTCAAAGGCCTTTTTTAAATTTTTTAACCAAAAATTTGAAAAAGCGTTCGATTTTAAAAACCGGCTTTTAGAAAAGAGAGTTTCCGATTAAAACGGAAGCAATTTTTTCCAAGGGGCCTTTTAAAAACTTAAAAATTTTAAATTTGGGTTCCGATTTAAAAAACTTAAAAACATTTTAAAATTAAACTTAATTTAAAAAAACTTTAAACAAAATTTTGCTTAGGGAATTCCTGTTTTTCTAAAAAGGGATTTTTAAGAAGGTTCCCCCGTTTAAATTCTTAAAAATTTTGGGCTTGAGCAGGTTCCATGTTTTTTGGAAGCTTTTTAAACCCGCAGGTTTCCCGGGGTTTTAGGGGCATTTTTTTACCTACGGCCTGGTTAAATTTTGGAAGATTTTGTTAGAGGCCTTTTAAATTTTTAAAAATTTTAGAGGGGGGGGTTCCGTGTTAAAAAACTTGGGGCTTTTCCCAGGGAGAAAAATTTTTGGAAACATTTTCCCCTTTGCGGGGGTTCCCGGGTTTTTACGGGCATTTTTCTGGGGGGGGTTTCCGGAAAACTGGAAACTTTTTGCCAGGGCCAAGGCCTGAGAAAACTTGGGAAGGGTTTTGCCGCGGGCCCCAGTTAAAAACGGAACCCGGGGGCCCGGGGGTTTCCGATTTTAAAGGAACATTTTTTTGGGGGCCGGGGGATGGGGAAAACGGGAAAATTTTTTAGACTAGCAGGGAGTTAAAAACGGGGGTTTTTTGTTTTTTAAGGGAATTTTTTAGAAAATCTTGGAACATTTTTTCAGGGTTTTGGTAAAATTGGCCCTTTTAAAAACTCCGGGTTTTAGTTTTTTCTTGGAAGATTTTTAAATTCCTTGTTTTCCCAGTTTAAATAAAAAATTTTTTCATTTTATGAATTAGAAGCATTATTAACCCTTTCCCAGCTTCTTCTCATTAGACAACAGTTAGGTCTGCTTCCCAAATGGCACCCTATTCACTTTGCTCTGGTCTAAAGTAGTGCACTATAAAGGGAATATGGTGCCACCCTGGTCTAAAGTAGTGCACTATAAAGGGAATATGGTGCTATTTGGGACGCAGACTAGTACTCACACATGGGCCTGTAGGGTAGGCGGTAACCAGCGACGGGCCGGGGGCTGTGGTAGGGGCCAATGTTGACGCCCTCCACAGGGCACTGGGTGCAGCAGTAGTTTGGGGTCAGAGTGTTGTGGTAGAGGCCTGCTGAGGGTGGGATGGAGTGAAGGGACTGGGGCTGCTCCAGGCTGCTCATACTAGGGCTGTATCGGCCCGGTAGGGGGGGGGAGGGACAGGGACCTTCCCTGGGAGTAGCAGCTCTCCCCTGGGTAGCTGGGGTAGTCTGGGGGGGTGAGGCAGGAGGGCAGGCTGCTGGGGTAAGCAGGTCCAGGGCCAGACCAGACGCTGGTGTAGCTGGGGTGAAGCCAGGAGCCATAAGCCTGACTGGGGAACGGGGTAGGCTGGCTGTACCCGGCTGGGAGGCCTACAGGAGGCTGATACAGGGTGTAGCTGGGCCCTGCCAGGTCCCCCATAGCCCTCCGAATGCTGAGGGGGGAGCCAGCCATGGAGCTGGGGGGGTCACGGTGGAGGTGGAGGTCGGGGTGGAGGTCGGGGTGGAGGTCGGGGTGGAGATCGGGGTGGAGATCAGGGTGGAGATCGGGGTGGAGATCAGGGCGGGTGGTTGAGGTCTCGTCGTCCTCCTCTGGAGTGTTCTGGAACTCTCTACGGCAGCAGATCAGCTGGGTGACACGCCTACTGGGACAGAGGTCAGTTAGGGGTCAGAGGTTAGGGTTAGGCCTGGGACAGAGGACTGGCTTCAGTTACATCATGTATTGTGCCTTCAGAAAGTATTCACTTCCCTTGACTTTTACAAAGTGGGATTAAAATAGATTTAATTGTCATTTTCTATCAACGATCTACACAAAATACTCTGTAATAAAACACTATTCAACCCCCTGAGTCAATACATCTTAGAATCACCTTTGGCAGCGATTACAGCTGTGAGTCTTTCTGGGTAAGTCTCTAAGAGCTTTCCACACCTGGATTGTACAATATTTGCACACTTTTTTTTTTATTCTTCAAGCTCTGTCAAGTTAGTTGTTGATCATTGCTAGACAGCCATTTTCAAGTCTTGCCGTAGATTTTCAAGCCGATTTAAGTCAAAACTGTATCTAGGCCACTCAGGAACATTCAATGTCGTCTTGGTGAGCAACTCCAGTGTATATTTGGTTTCTGTTTTAGGTTATTGTCCTGTTGAAAGGTGAATTAATCTCCCAGTGTCTGTTGGAAAGCAGACTGACCAGGTTTTCCTCTGGGATTCTGCCTGTGCGTAGCTCCATTCCGTTTTTTTTTTATCCTGAAAAACTCCGTAGTCCTTAATGATTACAAGCATACCCATAACATGATGCAGCCACCACTGTGCTTGAAAATATGGAGAGTTGTACTCAGTAATGTGTTATATTGGATTTGCCCCAAACATAACACTTTGTATTCAGGACTAAAAGTTAATTGCTTTCCCACATTTCATGCAGTATTCCTTTAGTGCCTTGTTGCATTTTTTGGAATATTTTTTATTCTGTACAGGCTTCCTTCTTTTCACTCTATCAATTAGGTTAGTATTGTGGAGTAACTACAATGTTGTTGATCCATCCTCAGTTTTCTCCTATCACAGCCATTAAACTCTGTAACGGTTTTAAAGTCACCATTGGCCTAATGATGAAATCCCTGAGCGGTTTCCTTCCTCTCCGGCAACTGAGTTAGGAAGGACGCCTGTATCTTTGTAGTGACTGGGTGTATTGATACACCATCCAAAGTGTAACTAATAACTTCACCATATTCAAAGGGATATTCAATGTCTGCTTTTATTTTTACCCATCTACCAATACAGTGGGGAAAAAAAGTATTTAGTCAGCCACCAATTGTGCAAGTTCTCCCACTTAAAAAGATGAGAGAGGCCTGTAATATTCATCATAGGTACACGTCAACTATGACAGACAAAATGAGAAAAAAAAATCCAGAAAATCACATTGTAGGATTTTTAATGAATTTATTTGCTAATTATGGTGGAAAATAAGTATTTGGTCACCTACAAGTTTTAGAACACCTACTCATTCAAGGGTTTTTCTTTAATTTTACTATTTTCTACATTGTAGAATAATAGTGAAGACATCAAAACTATGAAATAACACATATGGAATCATGTAGTAACCAAAAAGTGTTCAACAAATCAAAATACAAAAGGAAGTAACGACAAGAGAATCGTTGAAGATGCACAGAGAGTAAAAAGGCAGATTACTGAGTTTGGGAATAGAAAAGTCTACGTGGTCTGTACTGTTTGGGAATAGTTTAGTACCGTGAATGGATGTGAGAGTTGTGTGAGTGTGGAAAAGACGACTAAAATTTGGACAATAAGCTGATTGAAATTTGGATAATAAGAGGATTGAAATTTAGATAAGTATTATTATTACTATTAAGTAAGGAGTGAATGAGAGCTGTCAGGGGACTAGTTTCGGTGTGAAAGGTGAGAGAGTGCGTGTCTGAATGAATACCAAACCAGTTCTGTGTGAGCTGAGTGTGTCAATCTATAACGTTATCTAGGGGTTCCGTCCACCACCGGCCATCGTAATCTGGGACTACGAGGTGTTATTGAGCACGGGGTGTTTTATATGTGGTCCTCTGTAGCTCAGCTGGTAGAGCACGGCGCTTGTAACGCCAAGGTAGTGGGTTCGATCCCCGGGACCACCCATACACAAAAATGTATGCACGCATGACTGTAAGTCGCTTTGGATAAAAGCGTCTGCTAAATGGCATATTATTATTATATTATTATTATATGTATAGGAAGTAGCGGCAAGAACTGTTGAAGATGCATAGGATGTAACAACAGAAAAGTCTACGTGGTCTGAACCACTGATAATAGCACGAGGTGTTATTGTTATTTTAGGCATTTAGGAATCGTTGAAGATGCACATGGAGTGGTGTGGATGTGAATATCTAAGCCCCACTGACAATTGTCTGTAGGCATTTATGTTGATTTATAACGTTATATAGGGATTCTGTATGTGAGACATGAAAGGAGAAAGTACTATTCCCAAATATGCTGTAAAAGAGAACACTAGTGTAAATATTTAAACCCCTGTATGAATAGAACACTAGGGTAAAGGAGGATTCTGTGTATAATGGGTTACTAGAGATTTAAAAAATATATATATATTTAACCTTTATTTAACCAGGTAAGCCAGTTGAGAACAAGTTCTCATTTACAACTGCGACCTGGCCAAGATAAAGCAAAGCAGTGCGATAAAAACAACAACACAGAGTTACATATGGGGTAAAACAAAACATAAAGTCAAAAATACAACAGAAAATATATATATACAGTGTGTGCAAATGTAGCAAGTTATGGAGGTAAGGCAATAAATAGGCTATAGTGCAAAATAATTACAATTAGTATTAACACTGGAATGATAGATGATGTGCAAATAGAGATACTGGGGTGCAAAAGAGCAAAATAAATAACAATATAGGGATGAGGTAGTTGGGCGGGCTAATTTCAGATGAGCTGTGTACAGGTGCAGTGATCGGTAAGGTGCTCTGACATCTGATGCTTAAAGTTAGTGAGGGAGATAAGAGTCTCCAGCTTCAGAGATTTTTGCAATTTGTTCCAGTCATTGGCAGCAGAGAACTGGAAGGAATGGCGGCCAAAGGAGGTGTTGGCTTTGGGGATGACCAGTGAGATATACCTGCTGGAGCGCATACTATGGGTGGGTGTTGCTATGGTGACCAATGAGCAAAGATAAGGCGGGGATTTGCCTAGAAGTGATTTATAGATGGCCTGGAGCCAGTGGGTTTGGCAACGAATATGTAGTGAGGACCAGCCAACAAGAGCGTACAGGTCACAGTGGTGGGTAGTATATGGGGCTTTGGAGACAAAACGGATGGCACTGTGATAGACTACATCCAATTTGCTGAGTAGAGTGTTGGAGGCTATTTTGTAAATGACATCGCCGAAGTCAAGGATCGGTAGGATAGTCCGTTTTACGAGGGCATGTTTGGCAGCATGAGTGAAGGAGGCGAAATAGGAAACCGATTCTAGATTTACTTTGGATTGGAGATGCTTAATGTGAGTCTGGAAGGAGAGTTTACAGTCTAACCAGACACCTAGGTATTTGTAGTTGTCCACATACTCTAGGTCAGACCCGTCGAGAGTAGTGATTCTAGTCGGGTGGGCGGGTGCCAGCAGCGTTCGATTGAAGAGCATGCATTTAGTTTTACTAGTGTTTAAGAGCAGTTGGAGGCTACTGAAGGAGTGTTGTATGGCATTGAAGCTCGTTTGGAGGTTTGTTAACACAGTGTCCAATGAAGGGCCAGATGTATACAAAATGGTGTCGTCTGCGTAGAGGTGGATCTGAGTGTCACCAGCAGCAAGAGCGACATCATTGATATACGCGGAGAAAAGAGTCGGCCCAAGAATTGAACCCTGTGGCACCCCCATAGAGACTGCCATAGGTCCAGACAACAGGCCCTCCGATTTGACACATTGAACTCTATCTGAGAAGTAGTTGGTGAACCAGGCGAGGCAGTCATTTGAGAAACCAAGGCTATTTAGTCTGCCAATAAGAATGCGGTGGTTGACAGAGTCGAAAGCTTTGATGAAGTAACCATGGGAAAAATAATAATAATATACAACTTGCCCATGTAGACGTACGTAAGTGGTGTAAAAAGTATTAAGAGAAATGAATAGTATATTGGGTTACTAAATTTGATAAAGTACCAATGTATGAATGTATAATGGGTTACTAGAGTTTAACTTGCTCGATAGATTATTATGGACAGAGCACGCCATCTACAGGGAACTGATAGTCAGTGCCAGCCCAGTTTTAATACATGTTGATCGCAGAAAGTTGATATTTTTCCTTCTGAATTGGCCGATGTATTTTATAAATTCGCCACATTACATGTTAATCTTAAAATATTAGACATTTAATAAGTGTGAAGCAGAAAGTGAATATCCAACAGAAATTGGTAATAAATATATAGAGTAACATTATTAGGGTAGACTAAAATTAAAACAATGCCTTCCAATATGGAAAAGGTTATCATAATAATAAAATAAATAATAATATGCCATTTAGCAGACGCTTTTATCCAAAGCGACTTACAGTTATGCGTGCATACATTTTTTGTATATGGGTGGTCCCGGGGATCGAACCCACTACCTTGGCGTTACAATTACATCATGTATGTTTTGTTTTTAAACCTTACAATAGGGGTAAAAGCAGAACATTGTTTGAGAGTGATCCGTGTGTATTAGCAGTAGTGATTGAGAAGGTCTTCCTATTAGGAAGAAGGGAGAGTCCTAGTTGAGGGAAACAGATATGGAGACTAGCGAAAGTAATAAAATGAATGGCGATATTAGTTGCTTTCAGATAGCACTCTAATAATGCAGTATTTTAGTAATTTGAAGATGCTGAGGTTTCTATACAAGGTCACATGACGAACAGAGGGACATTATATTAGGCTGCCATCTGGTGTTTGGGTTAGAGATAAGCTTCCTGAGGACAAATAGATAGGCCGCCAGTACTCTCTGAACTCAAACAGGCTGTAAGGGACACAGTGGGACATTTGGGACAGAGGTATGAATAATTGAATAAGATACATTTTTGACAATTTCCAATTATTATTACTCAATTCTATAATTTGGGTAGCACCAGTGATTTAAGCAAGGAGCTAATGTAATCTAAAACAATAATCTGTTTCCGTTAAGTGGAACTGTGTCCAGAATTGAAGTAGATCCAAGTAAATGTTTTTAGTACCGAATATTGAGCTGATAAGCCAGCACCAACTTTTTGAAGGTCCTATCAGATTTGTTAAACAACTGGTTACATATTTTAACTAGTTGATGTCACAAGGACATATGTCAATGCAACAGGTAAAAATGATAAGATTGCAAGAAAGGGTCTCTGGGATTGTTTACTTTAGAAGGTGCTTATTCCGCTTGACAGGACACTGTATCATCTGATGTGTCTGACGTATGATTCTGTATACGCAGGGTTTTATCAAGATTTCCTGCCCAAGATGCAGTAAGCGCGATTAAGATTAAGAATTTTTAGGACTGATTAAAATAGCATAGTGAAATCTAAGTACATGTTTATTTTCTTTCTTCCAGGACTGATGGAATGTCCGCTACCAAGTTTATTTTGACATGTTTACCAATGGTTCTGTATCTCTGCCTTTGAAAGGCTTCCTGAGGCAGGTGCCTTAGGAGAGTAGTTATTGAGACTGTGTACTATACAGTATAAAGGTACCCGGATCCAGCTGTTAAGGGAGCTCCCAAATTAAGTAAGGTTCTAGTCTATTTTACTATTACCTTATGGGATACAATTATTTCCTTATGGAGTTATTAAGAGTTGTAATTTTAATTTGATTTGTTATTCACATTTTGTACTTAACTGGCAGTAGTGTTTTTGGACGCATGAATCACGATGTGAGTCATGTGTCCAAAGGGGAATTACCAGTCCCCTGGGTCCCTTTGGTAAATATGCAAATTGATTTTATTCACATGCCAGCCTATAAAAGGAAGTGTTTTGCTGTTGTTGTTTTGTTTTTGTCTTGCTTCAATACAAATCTCACCAGATTGGGTATTTTGGATGGTCGGGATTTCTCCCTAAGGATTAGCCCTCTGACTCCCTGACCCTGCAACTCTGCGGTGATATGATGGGGCCCTATAAGCCAATTTGAAAAAATGGTTCCACCAGAGTCTTGTTATTCTCTTTGACATTTGTCTTAGAAATTAGTATTAAGAATATTGGTAGAAGTAATCATTTGTCATACAGTCTGGATTTGACACATATTGGCGCCTGAGAAGATGGCTGCCGTTTTACAGCCCTCTAACCAATTGTACTATTATGTGTGTTTTTACGCGTTATTTGTAATTTATTTTGTACATAATGTTTCTGTCATCGTCTCTTATAACCAAAAAGAGCTTCTGGATATCAGGACAGCGATTACTCACCTCGTATTGGACAAAGAATTTTTCTTCAACGAGGCGGCCGCGAAGGATATCCTACAGACACCCGACAAGTCCCAAATCCCCGTCATTCGCAGGAGAAAGAGACGGAGATATTGTGGACGTAGGTCGGGGTGCCTTGTAAGGATCCGACGGCGAGCGAGTAAACTGCCTCTTCCATCAATCCTATTAGCCAATCTTCAATCATTGGAAAATAAATTAGATGACCTACGATTACACTTATCCTACCAACGGGACATAAAAAACTGTAATATCTTATGTTTCACCGAGTCGTGGCTGAACGACGACATGGACAACATACAGCTATCGGGCTACACACTACATCGGCAGGATAGAACGGCTGACTCCGGTAAGACAAGGGGTGGTGGTCTGTGTATATTTGTAAACAACAGCTTGTGCACAAAATCAAATACTAAGGAAGTCTCGAGGTTTTACTCGCCTGAGGTAGAGTACCTTATGATAAGCTGTAGATACACTATTTACCAAGAGAGTTTTCATCTATATTTTTCATAGCTGTCTATTTACCACCACAAACCAATGCTGGCATTAAGATTGCACTCAATGAGCTGTATAAGGCCATAACTAAACAGGAAAACGCTCATCCAGAGGCAGTGCTCCTAGTGGCCGGGGACTTTAATGCAGGGAAACTTAAATCCGTTCTACCAGCATGTTAAATGTGCAACCAGAGAGAAAAAAACTCTAGACCACCTTTACTCCACACACAGAGACGCATACAAAGCTCTCCCTCGCCCTCCATTTGGCAAATCTGACCATAACTCTATCCTCCTGATTCCTGCTTATAAGCAAAAACTAAAGCAGGGAGCACCAGTGACTCAGTTAATAAAAAAGTGGTCAGATGACGCAGATGCTAAGCTATAGGACTGTTTTGCTAGCACAGACTGGAACATGTTCCGGGATTCTTCAGATAGCATTGAGGAGTACACCACATCAGTCACTGGCTTCATCAATAAGTGCATCGATGACGTCGTCCCCACAGTGACCGTACGTACATACCCCCAACCAGAAGCCATGGATTATAGGCAACATCCGCACTGAGCTAAAGGGTAGAGCTGCCGCTTTCAAGGAGCGGGACTCTAACCCGGACGCTTATAAGAAATCCCGCTATGCCCTCAGACGAACAATCAAACAGGCAAAGAGTCAATACAGGACTAAGATTGAATCCTACTACACCGGCTCCGACGCTCGTCGGATGTGGCAGGGCTTGAAAACTATTACAGACTACAAAGGGAAGCACAGCCGCGAGCTGCCCAGTTGTTATTGTTTTACAGTGAGGGAAAAAAGTATTTGATCCCCTGCTGATTTTGTACGTTTGCCCACTGACAAAGACATGATCAGTCTATACTTTTAATGGTAGGTTTATTTGAACAGTGAGAGACAGAATAACAACAAAACAATCCAGAAAACGCATGTCAAAAATGTTATAAATTGATTTGCATTTTAATGAGGGAAATAAGTATTTGACCCCTCTGCAAAACATTACTTAGTACTTGGTGGCAAAACCCTTGTTGGCAATCACAGAGGTCAGATGTTTCTTGTAGTTGGCCACCAGGTTTGCACACATCTCAGGAGGGATTTTGTCCCAGTCCTCTTTGCAGGTCTTCTCCAAGTCATTAAGGTTTCGAGGCTGACGTTTGGCAACTCGAACCTTCAGCTCCCTCCACAGATTTTCTATGGGATTAAGGTCTGGAGACTGCCTAGGCCACTCCAGGACCTTAATGTTCTTCTTCTTGAGCCACTCCTTTGTCGCCTTGGCCGTGTGTTTTGGGTCATTGTCATGCTAGAATACCCATCCACAACCCATTTTCAATGCCCTGGCTGAGGGAAGGAGGTTCTCACCCAAGATTTGACGGTACATGGCCCCGTCCATCGTCCCTTTGATGCGGTGAAGTTGTCCTGTCCCCTTAGCAGAAAAACACCCCCAAAGCATAATGTTTCCACCTCCATGTTTGACGGTGGGGATGGTGTTCTTGGGGTCATAGGCAGCATTCCTCCTCCTCCAAACACGGCGAGTTGAGTTGATGCCAAAGAGCTCCATTTTGGTCTCATCTGACCACAACACTTTCACCCAGTTCTCCTCTGAATCATTCAGATGTTCATTGGCAAACTTCAGACGGGCCTGTATATGTGATTTCTTGAGCAGGAGGACCTTGCGGGCGCTGCAGGATTTCAGTCCTTCACGGCGTAGTGTGTTACCAATTGTTTTCTTGGTGACTATGGTCCCAGCTGCCTACTTTTTTCCCTCACTGTATGCTCGCTTCGAGGCAAGCAACACTGGAGCATGCATGAGAGCACCAGCTGTTCCGGATGACTATGTGATCACGCTCTCCGTAGCCGATGTGAGTAAGACTTTTAAGCAGGTCAACATTCACCAGGCCGGAGGGCCAGACAGATTACCAGGACGTGTACTCCGAGCATGTGCTGACCAACTGGCAAGTGTCTTCACCGACATTTTCAACATGTCCCTGACTGTAATACCAACATGTTTCAAGCAGACCACCATAGTCCCCGTGCCCAAGGACACTAAGATAACCAGCCTAAATGACTACCGACCCGTTAATTGAAGTATAACCTTTATTATGATGATAGTATCACCATACTAATTAGATTGTATAACCCAGAATGGTTTGAAAGTGTCTATCTCATACATTTTTAACAATTATTATCATAGAAGTGATAAAAGTAGGGAATGTGGAGGAAAAATGTATAGTCTGGAGACAGCCTTGAATTGTACATCTTGTCTCATATAATTATTGGTTCCTGTAGGTGCTGGGTAAAGACATGAGGGGGAGAAGGTCATGACCCCCTCCTCAGACCTTTTAAGGTCACATGCAGGAACCAGCCCTATGAACCATGCCTATGTAAGCAGTATATAAGGGACTGCCCCAGTGCAGCTCACTTCAGACGGGTACTTTATGCATCCAAGTTTGACTGTGACCTCTCCAGCTTGCTGTTAATAAAGAATGATTCATTTAATATTGACTTCGAGTGTCCATGGTGGTCATTTCCACGACACCAGCCGTGTTTTAACAAAACCCGTTCTGCTCGTCTACAAGGAAACCTGACATTTCCAAATACTGAGTCAACCTGTTGTTTAAGATACCAGAGTACAACTTGTAGACTGTGCTAATAAGGCTGATGCCAGACTATAACTGCAGACTGCTAATAAGGCTGATGCCAGACTATAACTGCAGACTGCTAATAAGGCTGATGCCAGACTATAACTGCAGACTGCTAATAAGGCTGATGCCAGACTATAACTGCAGACTGCTAATAAGGCTGATGCCAGACTATAACTGCAGACTGCTAATAAGGCTGATGCCAGACTATAACTGCAGACTGCTAATAAGGCTGATGCCAGAATATAACTGCAGACTGCTAACAAGGCTGATACCAGAGTATAACTGCAGACTGCTAATAAGGCTGATGCCAGACTATAACTGCAGACTGCTAATAAGGCTGATGCCAGACTATAACTGCAGACTGCTAATAAGGCTGATGCCAGAGTATAACTGCAGACTGCTAATAAGGCTGATGCCTCTGTCATTTAATGGGACCCTGGATCATTCTTTGATGACTTTGGGTTTAATGATGGATCTGTACCAAGTTGACGGGGTGAAACAGACAGAATAGAGGAGACTTTCAGACTTCATTTGGAAGCTCCTGTATTCCTGGTGCTTTTGTTTTTGCCTTCCGAACTTCCTCCATAGTCAATGTTTCATTCAGGAATGAGTTTGAGGTGTATCCAGCCCTATTCATCTCAACTCCCATCCAATTCTTTAAGTTACAAGTATCATTTAAGAAGTCATCATCAAACACAGATGCTATATTGGTCCTCTGTAGCTCAGCTGGTAGAGCACGGCGCTTGTAACGCCAAGGTAGTGGGTTCGATCCCCGGGACCACCCATACACAAAAAAAAGAAAAGAATGTATGCACGCATGACTGTAAGTCGCTTTGAATAAAAGCGTCTGCTAAATGGCATATTATTATTATTATATTGTTTCCTGAAAACAGGTTAGCAAAATCATTCCCCTTTACTTATCTAATACACAATTCTTCTTATGTTCAAGTTCACCATTTTCCAGTATGATTTCCATAGAATTTTCATAACTCTTTTCCGGCCCAGTTTATTTATGATTAAGGTCAAAGTGTAATTCATGGGCTGGGTGTGTGGTATCTACAGTACATTCAGATGTAGATCTCCCTGTTCAATATCACTTCCCCTTTCATTTAGCAGACGCTCTTATCCAGAGCCACTTACAGGAGCTATTAGGGTTAAGTGCCTTGCTCAAGGGCACATCGACAGATTTTTCACCTAGTCGGCTCAGGGATAAGAACCAGCGACCTTTCGGTTACTGGCACAACGCTCTTAACCACTAAGCTACCTGCCGCCCCAGGTAGCTTGACCAATTGTCTGGGACAGGGATGTTGTTTCGATGTTCGGAGGCAAGTTCTCTTAATTTGACTAAGCCCATGAAACTGGTCCTTGAGATTCTTGATATGTTTATCAAGCTCAGACTCCATGTCATCAGATAAGACCTTGTGTGCCTCTGCTACTCTATCGTAGCCTCTCTTCCACACAGGTCCATGGTGCCTCTGCTACTCTATCGTAGCCTCTCTTCCACACAGGTACATGTTGCCTCTGCTACTCTATCGTAGCCTCTCTTTCACACAGGTACATGTTGCCTCTGCTCCTCTATCGTAGCCTCTCTTCCACACAGGTACATGGTGCCTCTGCTACTCTATCATAGCCTCTCTTCCACACAGGTACATGGTGCCTCTGCTACTCTATCATAGCCTCTCTTCCACACAGGTACATGGTGCCTCTGCTACTCTATCGTAGCCTCTCTTCCACACAGGTACATGGTGCCTCTGCTACTCTATCATAGCCTCTCTTTCACACAGGTACATGGTGCCTCTGCTACTCTATCATAGCCTCTCTTTCACACAGGTACATGGTGCCTCTGCTACTCTATCGTAGCCTCTCTTTCACACAGGTACATGGTGCCTCTGCTACTCTATCGTAGCCTCTCTTTCACACAGGTACATGGTGCCTCTGCTCCTCTATCGTAGCCTCTCTTCCACACAGGTACATGGTGCCTCTGCTACTCTATCGTAGCCTCTCTTCCACACAGGTACATGGTGCCTCTGCTCCTCTATCATAGCCTCTCTTCCACACAGGTCCATGTTCCTGTCCTTTCTGTCAGTTCCTCTTCAGTCTATTTGTTCATCCCTCGCTGCTGCTCTAATATTCTTCTTCCTTCTATCACTTCCTGTTCCCTGAAGAACCATCGAGGACCCTGCTTGTTTTACGTTTGTATACACGGGGCAGGATGAGGTCTGCTCTGTAACAAATCTTGAGTTCATATGCATGACACATTGCAAAAATACTATGTAATCATCATTTGAATGGGGCTCAACTTGGCTAATGGCTCAACTTGGCTAATGGCTCAATTTACCCCAAGGATTGAAAAAGAAAACTAAGTCCACACAGCTACAAGGATGCACTTTCATGCTAGGATTAGCACCTCATATTGTAGCTTACATACACCCTAACTGATCTATAGAACAATCTTAAAACGATCTACACTGAACAAAAATATAACCACAATATGTAAAGTGTTTCATGAGCTGAAATAAAAGATCCCAGACAATTTCCATACACACAAAAAGCGTATCTCTCTCCCTGTTAGCGAGCATTTCTCTTTTGCCAAGATAATCCATCCACCTGACAGGTGTGGCATATCAAGAAGCTGATTAAACAGCATGATCATTACACCTTGTGCTGGGGACAATAAAAGGCCACTCTAAAATGTGCAGTTTTGTCACACAACACAATGCCACAGATGTCTCAAGTTGAGGGAGTGTGCAATTGGCATCCTGACTGCAGGAATGTCCACCAGAGCGGTTGCCAGAGAATTTAATGTTCATTTATCTACCATAAGCCACCTCCAACGTCGTTTTAGAGAATTTGGCAGAACGTAATTCTGTTACCAATTTAGTAACAGCACTGATATCAAACTTGATATCAGTAAAAATACTATAACTAATTGGTAAATCTACCTTGTTATTTCTGTGAACTTTCATTATCCTTCCTTTTCATGAGGGAGAGAAATTAGAAAATATCTTCAAGATACAGTATGTGGGTTTTTGGCAGGGGCGCAACTTTCACTGGGGACGGGGGGACATGTCCCCCCCACATTCTGAAATGGCATTTTTGTCCCCCCCAGTTTATATCATTGGAATGTGATACAAAACGAGGCAACGGTGTGCTTTAGGACCATGCGGACGCCTCCCAGTGGTCGGGTAGGCTGTTTGGAGTGTTTATCCGACTGGATAAAAAATATATATATAATTATGCCCCCCCCCCACTTCTAAAACCAAAGTTGCGCCCCTGGTTTTTGGTTACAAGGCACAAGGCAGTGTTTCTCAAACTTACAGAAGTCAAATCAGTTCTACAAATTAGTTGGCAGGGGTCTTTACCTCAATATTATTGTGTTTCTGATACCTTTTAAGACTTTTTCCTGGTAGATGTTTTCTAAGACCGCTTTTCCATCTGTTTGACCAGAAATTAAAGACTTTTGCTTATTCCAAATTTCTAGGATGGAAAATGGTGTCTTCATTTCAGGAAAACAATGTAGACTCTTAGCTTTCATTTGACACCCAATTTGACATGCTCCTATGAACGTCACATGGTGGTGTTCATGGGTCCTTTTACATGGAAATGCCCTATAGTGGGACATAGCATACAGGCCTACCTGTTAGTAGCTGTGGTTGAGTAGCAGGGAGTGGGCAGCATCATTCTGTCTCTGCCACTGTGGAGGATCAGCTCCTGTCAAGTCCCAGCAACACACAGCCTGTCAAAATCAACATCACAGGTAACTTACAGCAACACACAGCCTGCCAAAAATCAACATCACAGGTAACTTACAGCAACACACAGCCTGCCAAAAATCAACATCACAGGTAACTTACAGCAACACACAGCCTGCCAAAAATCAACATCACAGGTAACTTACAGCCCTAAAAATTGTCAAAGACTCCAGCCACCCTTGTCATAGACTGTTCTCTCTGCTATCGCACAGCAAGCGGTACCGGAGCACCAAGTCTAGGTCCAAGAGGCTTCTTAACAGCTTCTACCCCCAAGCCATAAGACTCCTGAACATCTAATGTCTGTATACCCAGACTATTTGCATTGCCCCTACTGATTTTGTACATTTGCCCACTGACAAAGACATGATCAGTCTATAATTTTAATGGTAGGTTTATTTGAGCAGTGAGAGACAGAATAACAATAAAATAATCCAGAAAAACGCATGTCAAAAATGTTATAAATTGGGCAAACGTACAAAATCAGCAGGGGATCAAATACTTTTTTCCCTCACTGTAATACAGGACATACTTCAGACAGGACACATATCTCAGGACATACTTCAGACAGGACACATAATACAGGACACACTTCAGACAGGACACATAATACAGGACACACTTCAGACAGGACACATAATACAGGACACACTTCAGACAGGACACATATAGGTTAATACTGGGGCTGTGGTTATTATGAGTAACCTGATTTATGTTCCTCTAACTCCGCCTTCTAGTGAGTTTCTACAGACTGTTATCTCCTACCATTCTGATAGAGTGAAGACTGTCAGGAAACGTGGTTGTAACGTTAATAATTTGGTTGGTATTCCATTGGTTACCTCGAGGCAGATGCCCCAGGGGGCAGAGTGGTCCACCCTCATTGAATATGGCGCTTTTAAATGTTAGAGCAATCACTAGTAAAACCTTTCTTATGAATGACCTCATTACTGAGCGCAAAGTTGATTGCATGTTTCTCACTGAAACATGGCTGTCTTCAGACTGTAGTGCCTCTCTTATTGAAGCCCCTCCCCCCCAGACTACAGCTTTTCATACTCTATCACTGAAACATGGCTGTCTTCAGACTGTAGTGCCTCTCTTATTGAAGCCTCCCCCAGACTACAGCTTTTCATACTCTATCACTGAAACATGGCTGTCTTCAGACTGTAGTGCCTCTCTGAGTGCCTCTCTTATTGAAGCCTCCCCCAGACTACAGCTTTTCATACTCTATCACTGAAACATGGCTGTCTTCAGACTGTAGTGCCTCTCTTATTGAAGCCTCCCCCAGACTACAGCTTTTCATACTCTATCACTGAAACATGGCTGTCTTCAGACTGTAGTGCCTCTCTTATTGAAGCCCCCCCCCAGACTACAGCTTTTCATACTTTATCACTGAAACATGGCTGTCTTCAGACTGTAGTGCCTCTCTTATTGAAGCCTCCTCCCTGGACTACAGCTTTTCATACTCTATCAGAAAAGGGAAGGAAAATGGCCCCCAATTTTTACTAATGCCCTCAGCTGTAAAGACATTTCATTTGGTGACTTTGTGTCTTTTGAGCATCATGCTATACTGTTTAAATGTCAGCCACCAGTGCTGGTCATAACCCTGTATAGGCCACCAAAGCTCTGCCCCACTTTCTTTACTGATTTCTCTGAACTATTGTCTATTGTCCTTGAGAACTAAGATAAAATCATTGTGTTGGGTGATTTTAATATTCATGTTGACAAAGAGACTGACTCCAAGGCCATTGAATGTATTAATCTGTTGAGCTCTATGGACTTTATCCAACATGTTACTGGGCCCACCCATAACCACTCTGGACCTGGTTATTACCAAGGGGCTTTCTATTGACATATCCTCTACGGCCATACTCTGGACCTGGTTATTACCAAGGGGCTTTCTATTGACATATCCTCTACGGCCATACTCTGGAACTGGTTATTACCAAGGGGCTTTCTATTGACATATCCTCTACCGGCCATACTCTGGACCTGGTTATTACCAAGGGGCTTTCTATTGACATATCCTCTACGGCCATACTCTGGACCTGGTTATACCAAGGGGCTTTCTATTGACCATATCCTCTACGGCCATACTCTGGACTGGTTATTACCAAGGGGCTTTCTATTGACATATTCCTCTACGGCCATACTCTGGACCTGGTATTACCAAGGGGCTTTCTATTGACATATCCTCTACGGGCCATTACTTCTGGAACGCTGGTTATTACCAAGGGGGCTTTTCCTTATGACATATCCTCTACGGCCAATACTCTGGACCTGGTTATTACCAAGGGCTTTCTATTGAACAAAAAAAATATCCTCTACGGCCATACCTTGGACCGGGTTATTACCAAGGGGCTTTCTATTGGACATATCCTCTACGGCCATTTACTCTGGACCACTGGTTATTACCACAGGGGCATTTCTATTGACATATCCTCTACGGCCATTACTCTGGACCTGGTTATTACAAGGGGCTTTTCTAATTGACATTATCCTCCTACGGCCATACTCTGGACCTGGTTATTACCAAGGGTCTTCTTTCTATTGAACATATCCTCTACGGCCATACTCTGGACCTGGTTATTACCAAGGGGATTTCTGTTGACATATCCTCTACGGCCATACTCTGGACCTGGTTATTACCAAGGGGCTTTCTATTGACATATCCTCTATTGTTGATGTTGCTTTATCTGATCACCACTGTGGATGTTTTAGTACCTTGTTGCCCATAGCAACACAGGGTAACACTGAACGCATTAAGAAACGCTGTCTTACCTCTGAAGTTGCTACAGATTTTATTGAGTGTATGAACTATACTCCACCACCTATTCTGCCTTCCTCTTGTGATGATTTAGTTGATAACTTTCATAGCAAATTAAGGGCAACCACGGATGCCATAGCTCCAGTTAGGTTGAAAAAGGCCACATCCAGACAGAGAGCCCCTTGGATGAGTAGGAAACTAATCAACTAAAGAGAAATTGGAGAAAGGCAGAGCAGAAGTGGAGAAAGTCAAAGTTGCAGGTCCATTATGATATTCTGAGAGAGCAACTTGGCATATACAGTGGGGGAAAAAAGTATTTAGTCAGCCACCAATTGTGCAAGTTCTCCCACTTAAAAAGATGAGAGAGGCCTGTAATTTTCATCATAGGTACACGTCAACTATGACAGACAAATTGAGAATTTTTTTTTCCAGAAAATCACATTGTAGGATTTTTAATGAATTTATTTGCAAATTATGGTGGAAAATAAGTATTTGGTCACCTACAAACAAGCAAGATTTCTGGCTCTCACAGACCTGTAACAACTTCTTTAAGAGGCTCCTCTGTCCTCCACTCGTTACCTGTATTAATGGCACCTGTTTGAACTTGTTATCAGTATAAAAGACACCTGTCCACAACCTCAAACAGTCACACTCCAAACTCCACTATGGCCAAGACCAAAGAGCTGTCAAAGGACACCAGAAACAAAATTGTAGACCTGCACCAGGCTGGGAAGACTGAATCTGCAATAGGTAAGCAGCTTGGTTTGAAGAAATCAACTGTGGGAGCAATTATTAGGAAATGGAAGACATACAAGACCACTGATAATCTCCCTCGATCTGGGGCTCCACGCAAGATCTCACCCCGTGGGGTCAAAATGATCACAAGAACGGTGAGCAAAAATCCCAGAACCACACGGGGGGACCTAGTGAATGACCTGCAGAGAGCTGGGACCAAAGTAACAAAGCCTACCATCAGTAACACACTACGCCGCCAGGGACTCAAATCCTGCAGTGCCAGACGTGTCCCCCTGCTTAAGCCATGTCCAGGCCCGTCTGAAGTTTGCTATTGTAGTGCATTTGGATGATCCAGAAGAGGATTGGGAGAATGTCATATGGTCAGATGAAACCAAAATATAACTTTTTGGTAAAAACTCAACTCGTCGTGTTTGGAGGACAAAGAATGCTGAGTTGCATCCAAAGAACACCATACCTACTGTGAAGCATGGGGGTGGAAACATCATGCTTTGGGGCTGTTTTTCTGCAAAGGGACCAGGACGACTGATCCGTGTAAAGGAAAGAATGAATGGGGCCATGTATCGTGAGATTTTGAGTGAAAACATCCTTCCATCAGCAAGGGCATTGAAGATGAAACGTGGCTGGGTCTTTCAGCATGACAATGATCCCAAACACACCGCCCGGGCAACGAAGGAGTGGCTTCGTAAGAAGCATTTCAAGGTCCTGGAGTGGCCTAGCCAGTCTCCAGATCTCAACCCCATAGAAAATCTTTGGAGGGAGTTGAAAGTCTGTGTTGCCCAGCGACAGCCCCAAAACATCACTGCTCTAGAGGAGATCTGCATGGAGGAATGGGCCAAAATACCAGCAACAGTGTGTGAAAACCTTGTGAAGACTTACAGAAAACGTTTGACCTGTGTCATTGCCAACAAAGGGTATATAACAAAGTATTGAGAAACTTTTGTTATTGACCAAATACTTATTTTCCACCATAATTTGCAAATTTGCAAAATTCATTAAAAATCCCACAAATGTGATTTTCTGGATTTTTTTTTCTCATTTTGTCTGTCATAGTTAACGTGTACCTATGATGAAAATTACAGGCCTCTCTCATCTTTTTAAGTGGGAGAACTTGCACAATTGGTGGCTGATTAAATACTTTTTTTCACCACTGTATAACAAGGCAGTTAGAAATGCCAGACAGGTTCATTTTTCTAACTTGATCACTAATAATCAAATGGCTTTTTACCACCTGAGGAACATTGCCAAGGTGTGGACGTTTCTCGCTCAGGCTGATACAGAGAGACTCATCCATGCTTTTATTACAAGCAGGCTTGACTACTGTAATGCTCTCCTGTCTGGTCTACCCAAGAAAGCCATTGGTCAACTGCCAAACATACAGAATGCTGCAGCACGGGTACTGACCAAGACCAGACGGAGAGCACACATTACACCGGTTTTAAGGTCTCTGCACTGGCTGCCTGTGAGTTTTAGAATTAATTTAAAGATTATTCTATTGGTTTTTAAATCACTCCACGATTGTGCACCCCAACACATGTCAGACATGCTTTTAAGTTATGTACCCAGTAGGTCCCTCAGGTCCTCTGGCACTGGCCTTTTAACTATCCCAAAGCCAGGACCAAGAGGCATGGAGAGGCAGCCTTTAGTTACTATGCCCCCAGCCTCTGGAACAGCCTGCCAGAGAACCTGAGGGGGGCTGAAACTGGGGACATATTTAAGAGATCTTAAAACACATATTTTTAGCTCTGCTTTTCCTTATGGTGCTTTTAGTCGTTCAGTATTAATTGTTATTATTTTGTTTTTTATCTTATGTTTGTTGTGTAGTAAATATTTCAGCTTTTACTTTCTTTGTTTTTTCATTGTTTTTTTCCTGTAAAGCACATTGCATTGCATGTCTGAAATGTGCTGTATAAATAAAGCTTGATTTGATATAGTCAGATTAATGATCCACCATTTTGGGAAATTAATTTAAACTTTAAAGGCTATTGAGTCAACATGCCGTGCCGCCTCCAGCTGCTCTGCTCAGAGGGACTTTCTGAACCTGTAGCAGTCATTTACCAGCAGTATGTTTTCTAGTGGGGAGGAGTTCAGTGGAAATCCCAACTCTACTCTCACTGATGGGAAACCAAACCACCAACATATCCTCATCTATTGTTAATATATGTGTCTTGATTGTAGGTCTACATGTCCCAAATGGCACTATATTCCCTATTTAGTGCACATACAAAAGAAGGGCACTATTTAGGGTAAAGGGTGTCATTTGGGATGCATCGCGCAGGCAGTCAGTCCAGGGTGACAACTTCTAGGTAAGAGTCTATGGTTAGGCTATAACTTATACTGTAGGTAAGAAACGTATGGTCCTGAGAAACATGTTTAAGAGCCCAAAGCATAATTATTCATTTAACATCATAAAAGTTCAAGTTTATGATCTGTGAGAACGCTGGCTGCCCCAGGTAGTCTAGGGGCTCTATTCAGGTACACAACATGCACAACATTCCAGCTCTTTTACAAAGCAAATGCTCAGGGGGCAGGAACATAATGATAATAATTTGTACAAATTAACCATAACGAAGGCCAAAAAGAGATTGTATTAGATTTTTTACATTTTACAAAACTTTTGGTGGCCCCCAAAAGAAAAGTCACTGGCGGGCCTGTTTTGGCCGCAGGCAGCCTGTTGCAGACCCCTGGCCTAGAGGCTATACATCTCAGAACATTTAGGCAGACCCCTGGCCTAGAGGCTATACATCTCAGAACATTTTGCTGATGAAGTCAGTATGGTCAGTCACGTTTGCGTTTTCCACTGAAGCAGCAGTAGCAGTAGTGTTGACCTTGATTCAGAGCAGAAGCTGAAGTCATTTTCCAACAGTTCACATTCTGCTTGACATGCAAAGGTGCACACAAACTGCCCCCGAGACATCTATCGTATCTACCACAAAAATCTGCTGCGTCGAGCGCCATTTCGATTGGTGCCTCTTCCTGTTGCTTTCCTGTGCTCAGAACTATGCTCTTTCACTTATCAAAATGAACTTTCAGAAGCTTTTATTGTGACACTGAATTTATAATGTCAGAAGTTGACTTTTTCTGATTCTTGACATGGAAAATACTAGAGGAACGCACACTATGCCCTGGACCAGAGCTAGAGGAACGCGCACTATGCCCTGGACCAGAGCTAGAGGAACGTGCACTACACCCTGGACCAGAGCTAGAAGACGCACATTATGCCCTGGACCAGAGCTAGAAGACGCACACTATGCCCTGGACCAGAGCTAGAGGAACGTGCACTACACCCTGGACCAGAACTAGAGGAACGCACACTATGCCCTGGACCAGAGCTAGAGGAACGTGCACTACACCCTGGACCAGAACTAGAGGAACGCACACTATGCCCTGGACCAGAGCTAGAGGAACGTGCACTACACCCTGGACCAGAGCTAGAGGAACGTGCACTACACCCTGGACCAGAGCTAGAAGACGCACCTTGCAATTGTACCTTCAGAACAAAATATTCAGGAAATGATTTGTTTTTTTATTTCAACAAATCTTTACCGATAACATGTACATGTTGGGAAAGAAACATGAACAGATTCCGTACTGCGGTGGATACATAAAGGCATTGTTGGGGAGTAGTGAACTACATGTACTTCAACTAGTAATTTAACTACATTTTTGCAATAGCTTGGTGGTATAACTTGCCTTTAATAGGCTAAAATTACAATCTGTTAACATATGACCCCAAAGTCATCTGTTCTTCCGATTTGTTGTCTATGACATTTCAGATTTACATGACAATTTGTCACTAAGTACCTTGATGTAGCAAACTCCTTTTTAAAAGTAACTTCAGTTAAGTAAACTATATTTTTCTTAAAGCTAAAATATGTACTTTTTTGGGCGACCCAACCAAATTCACATAGAAATGTGAGTCATAGATATTTCATTCTCTTTGAAAGCAAGTCTAAGAAGCAGTAGACCTGTTCTATGTGCGATATTTCTATGCTTAAGTTTAGTTTTTGCATCTTTTACTTTCAGTTTTGTACACCAGCTTCAAACAGCTGAAAATACAATATTTAGTTATGGAAAATATATTTCACAACAGTGTAGATGGTACTCTACACATTGACTGTTTGTTCTGTTACATAAACTGAAATTAGGTTAACTATTATAATTTTAGCAACCAGAAAATGGGGGAGCAATTTCTGCATAGTGCATATTTAAGGGTAGCTTTAGTGTAGTTTAACTTCTTCCATTGTGAAGTCATTGATATATTGGTAAACTATATTTCCAGAGTAGCTTTCTGGTGTAAGTGAAATATATTATGAGATCCACATCTCATATTCATACCAGGGCACAGTGCTCTAAAAAGGCTATTTCACCTACCTCATGTTCAAATATTCATACCAGGGCACAGTGCTCTAGAAAGGCTATTTCACCTACCTCATGTTCAAAAGAAGGATTTAAATCCAGATCTGACGGGTTGTTCCAAATCCTATGCACGAAAAGTTGAAAATGGAAGAGCCGGTATGTATGTCTCGACACTCGCACTCACGCAAGTGAAACTGTTCTGTCAAGACAGAAAAGTTTACCAAGCGCACTCTCCTATCTTCCGTCAACAACGTACGTCGTTTGCGTAGATCTGTATACGTCATGATAAACGCAACACGTTGTTCACACATATCATCAGACGATCCCATCTGTGAGTCTGCGCAGAGAGGAGCTGAACCTCTAACAAAGATGGTGGATAAATGAAGATAGTCAAAGAGGAAGAGGCAAAGCGAGAGGGGAAACTCGGCCCAAAATCTGTCTCTTCCAGCAGGTGGCGTTTTTTCGCTCACCAAGGGAGGAGCTTTTGTATAAAGGTCAATGACGGTAGAATTTGGTCAACAAAAAACGGAACGGTTTATTTGCTACGTGAGGCATATTTGATCGGATAGAAGTTTCGTAATGCTTAGGTTGTTCCGAGTGTACATATAAGTACACGTGACATCCCGCAACTTTGAGGGGAAAAAAACATTCTCGGAGTTAGTGCTATAGGGGATCATTGGGACGTCCATAACCTAACCACTACCATAACCTTTACCGAACCCTTTTACATTTCAGATGACTGGGGTAACGTTAGAGTTGGGACGGCCCAAGGATCCCGGATATGCATAGCAAGGACCGTTGTGGTTGTGCCTGTTGGTCACATTGGGGGTAATGCCCTTTCTTTAGCTAGAATGGTCCCATCTGATCTCGCCTCCTCGAGTGCCTTCCATTTTTAAAGACATGTATTTCCATTAGAGCGGCCACTCGACCATCTCGGGTCAATATAATGGATCATCTGAGATAGTTCACTCAGGCAGTTTACCTTTGAAAGAAATGGTCAGTTCAGGTCACTAAACTACCACCTGGGCGCCAGGTGGCTTAGTGGGTAAGAGCGTTGTGCCAGTAACCGAAAGGTCGCTGGTTCTAATCCCCGAGCCGACTTAGCAAGGCACTTAACCCTAATTGCTCCTGTAAGTCGCTCTGGATAAGAGCGTCTGCTAAATGACAAAAATGTAAATGTAGGTCGACTTAACTGGGTGTCTCCCATAGACACCAATGCAATAGCAGCTGGGACTGGTTCCAGTCTCCTTAACTGGGTGTGTCTCCCATAGACACCAATGCAATAGCAGCTGGGACTGGTTCCAGTCTCCTTAACTGGGTGTGTCTCCCATAGACACCAATGCAATAGCAGCTGGGGCTGGTCTGCTTAGTTCGTTGACTTTCATTGGGTGTCTCGCTTCCTCTTCGGTCTCTACTACGGGGCCTGGGTTCCGATCTGCAGTTTAGCAGAGCAATTGTCTGAGGACTAATTTTTTTTCCATCACTCACAGCTGAAAATACAAACATTTAATAATGATCCAATGTCTGCCATGCTTCTGGATGATGTCGTTGCTGCTGGTGCTTGCTCCAGTGCACACAGTGCTAGTGTGCAGGGCTTACCGGCTCTGTAATATGCCAACGTGAGTAGATTACATTAAAAACAGCAGATGTCCATCTTGGAAGAAGTGCTACCGGTGGAGCATCAAGACACACCCCTTTTATATAAGCCCCACCTCTCTGTTCCATAACATATCACTTTAGAGTGGTAGCTGGTCAGATATACAGCGCTGGCTCCCAACCTGGGGTAGCTGGTCAGATATCCAGCGCTGGCTCCCAACCAGGGGTAGCTGGTCAGATATACAGCGCTGGCTCCCAACCTGGGGTAGCTGGTCAGATATACAGCGCTGGCTCCCAACCTGGGGTAGCTGGTCAGATATACAGCGCTGGCTCCCAACCTGGGGTAGCTGGTCAGATATACAGCGCTGGCTCCCAACCAGGGGTAGCTGGTCAGATATACAGCGCTGGCTCCCAACCTGGGGTAGCTGGTCAGATATACAGCGCTGGCTCCCAACCTGGGGTAGCTGGTCAGATATACAGCCCTGGCTCCCAACCAGGGGTAGCTGGTCAGATATACAGCGCTGGCTCCCAACCAGGGGTAGCTGGTCAGATATACAGCGCTGGCTCCCAACCTGGGGTAGCTGGTCAGATATACAGCGCTGGCTCCCAACCTGGGGTAGCTGGTCAGATATACAGCGCTGGCTCCCAACCAGGGGTAGCTGGTCAGATATACAGCGCTGGCTCCCAACCTGGGGTAGCTGGTCAGATATACAGCGCTGGCTCCCAACCTGGGGTAGCTGGTCAGATATACAGCGCTGGCTCCCAACCTGGGGTAGCTGGTCAGATATACAGCGCTGGCTCCCAACCAGGGGTAGCTGGTCAGATATACAGCGCTGGCTCCCAACCTGGGGTAGCTGGTCAGATATACAGCGCTGGCTCCCAACCTGGGCTATTAGGCCTATCCACAGGGGGTACTAGGAGACTCAGGAGACCATAGGCTTACTGGTGAAATGCACATGAGGGGGTACTTCAGGGGTACTCCGGGCAGAGCAACATTCAATTGGTGGTACAGTAACTGAAAAACTTGATATACATAACACCTAATGATAACATACATACAGTACATGCAATTACCAAATTAAATAGCAAATTAAAATAAAAATAATTTATAAAAAATAAAAAGCAGAGTAAATGAATGTTCTCTACTTTATTGTAATCAGTTGATCAAAAGTCCCAGATAAATACAACAGCATATTGAAGAGTATGTTAAGTATTAAATAAGTATTGCTGTGGGAGAAAGGGAGTGCTGCAACAAGGACTGATCCGTGGCTCCTGCAGTGCAGAGGTCAGCACCTAACAGGGCAGTACAAGGCTCACATATGCTGCGCGTTTTAGTACTGAAGAGCTACATCATCATCATCATCATCATCATCATCATCATCATCATTTAAAGCAGTGCAGGAACTTGGTGGGGTTGACTTGTCTCTGTCTGGAGAAGCAGGCCTCCAGCCAGGTCTTCTGAACAGGAAGTGCCTGAGGGTGCTGACCAATAAGCTCCCGGATCGCCTGGTGACACAGAAAACCATAGCAACATCAGAAGACTAGCAACATCAGAAGACTAGCATCATCAGACTATAGCATCATCAGACTATAGCATCATCAGACTATAGCAACATCAGACTATAGCAACATCAGACTATAGCAACATCAGACTATAGCAACATCAGAAGACTATAGCATCATCAGACTATAGCAACATCAGACTATAGCAACATCAGACTATAGCAACATCAGACTATAGCAACATCAGACTATAGCAACATCATCAGACTATAGCAACATCATCAGACTATAGCAACATCAGACTATAGCATCATCATCAGACTATAGCAACATCATCAGACTATAGCAACATCAGACTATAGCAACATCAGACTATAGCATAATCAGACTATAGCAACATCAGACTATAGCAACATCAGACTATAGCAACATCATCAGACTATAGCAACATCATCAGACTATAGCAACATCAGACTATAGCAACATCAGACTATAGCATAATCAGACTATAGCAACATCAGACTATAGCAACATCAGACTATAGCAACATCAGACTATAGCAACATCAGACTATAGCAACATCAGACTATATCAACATCAGACTATAGCAACATCAGACTATAGCAACATCAGACTATAGCAACATCAGACTATAGCAACATCAGACTATAGCATCAGACTATATCAACATCAGACTATAGCAACATCAGACTATAGCAACATCATCAGACTATAGCAACATCACGACTATATCACATCAGACTATAGCATCATCAGACTATAGCAAATCAGACTATAATCAACTCAGACATAGCAACATCAGACTATAGCATCATCAGACTATAGCAACATCAGACTATAGCAACATCAGACTAATAGCAACATCAGACTATAGCTCAGACTATATGCAACATCAGACTATAGCAACATCAGACTATAGCATCATCAGACTATAGCAACATCAGACTATAGCAACATCAGACTATAGCAACATCAGACTATAGCAACATCATCAGCTATCAGCAACATCATCAGACTATAGCAACATCAGACTATAGCAACATCAGACTATAGCAACATCAGACTATAGCACATCAGACTATAGCATCAGACTACTATCAAACATCAGACTATAGCAACATCAGACTATAGCAACATCAGACTATAGCAACATCAGACATAGCAACATCAACTATAGCAACATCAGACTATAGCAACATCAGACTATAGCAACATCAGACTATAGCAACATCAGACTATAGCAACATCAGACTATAGCAACATCAGCTATAGCAACATCAGAAGGGACTACTCTCAACATCAGACTATAGCAACATCAGACTATACGCACCATCAGACTATAGCAGCATCAGACTATAGCAACATCAGACTATAGCAACATCAGACTATAGCAACATCAGACTATAGCAACATCAGACTATAGCATCATACAGACTATAGCAACATCAGACTATAGAAACATCAGACTATAGCAACATCAGACTATAGCAACATCAGACTATAGCAACATCAGACTATAGCAACATCAGACTATAGCAACATCAGACTATAGCAACATCAGACTATAGCAACATCAGACTATAGCAACATCAGACTATAGCAACATCAGACTATAGCAACATCAGACTATAGCAACATCAGACTATAGCACATCAGACTTAGCAACATCAGACTATATAGAAACATCAGACTATAGCATCATCAGACTATAGCAACATCAGACTATAGAAACATCAGACTATAGCAACATCAGACTATAGCAACATCAGACTATAGAAACATCAGACTATAGCAACATCAGACTATAGCAACATCAAGAACTATAGAACATCAGACTATAGCAACATCAGACTATAGCAACATCAGACTATAGCAACATCAGAAGACTATAGCAACATCAGACTATAGCATCATCAGACTATAGCAACATCAGACTATAGCAACATCAGACTATAGCAACATCAGACTATAGCAACATCAGACTATAGCAACATCAGACTATAGCAACATCAGACTATAGCAACATCAGACTATAGCATCATCAGACTATAGCAACATCAGACTATAGCATCATCAGACTATAGCAACATCAGACTATAGCATCATCAGACTATAGCAACATCAGACTATAGAAACATCAGACTATAGAAACATCAGACTATAGCAAACATCAGACTATAGCAACATCAGACTATAGCAACATCAGACTATAGCAACATCAGAAGACTATAGCAACATCAGACTATAGCAACATCAGACTATAGCAACATCAGACTATAGCATCATCAGACTATAGCAACATCAGACTATAGCAACATCAGACTATAGCAACATCAGACTATAGCAACATCAGACTATAGCAACATCAGACTATAGCAACATCATCAGACTATAGCAAACATCAGACTATAGCAAACATCAGACTATAGCAACATCAGACTATAGCAAATCAGACTATAGCAAACATCAGACTATAGCACATCAGACTATAGCAAACATCAGACTATAGCAACATCAGACTATAGCAAATCATCAGACTATAGCAACAATCAGACTATAGCACATCATCAGACTATAGCAACATCAGACTATAGCACATCAGACTATAGCAACATCCAGACTATAGCAACATCAGACTATAGCAACATTGCATCATGACTATAGCAACAGCAGAATCGATATAGAACATCAGACTATAGCAACATCAGAAGATCATAGCAACATCAGACTATAGCAATCATCAGACTATAGCAACATCAGACTATAGCAACATCAGACTATAGCAACATCAGACTATAGCAACATCAGACTATAGCAACATCAGACTATAGAAACATCAGACTATAGCAACATCAGACTATAGCATCATCAACTATAGCAACATCAGACATAGCATCATCAGACTATCGACAAACATCAGACTATAGCATCATCAGACTATAGCAACATCAGACTATAGAAACATCAGACTATAGAACATCAGACTATAGCAACATCAATCATAGACTATAGCAACATCAGACTATAGCAACATCAGACTATAGCAACATCAGACTATAGCAAACATCAGACTATAGCATCATCAGACTATAGCAACATCAGACTATGCAACATCATCAGACTATGCAACATCAGACTATAGCAACATCAGACTATAGCAACATCAGACTATAGCATCATCAGACTATAGCAACATCAGACTATAGCAACATCAGACTATAGCAACATCATCAGACTATAGCAACATCAGAAGATAAGCAACATCAGACTATAGCAACATCAGACTATAGCAACATCAGACTATAGCAACATCATCAGACTATAGCACATCAGACTATAGCAACATCAGACTATAGCACATCAAGACTATAGCAACATCAAGACATATAGCATCATCAGACTATAGCAACATCAGACTATAGCAACATCAGAGTAGCTATAGCAAACATCAGACTATAGCAACATCAGACTATAGCACATCAGACTATAGCAACATCAGACATAGCAACATCAGACTATAGCATCATCAGACTATAGCAACATCAGAAACTATGCATCATCAGACTATAGCAAACATCAGACTATCCAGACATCATATCAGACTATAGCACATCAGACTTAGACACATCAGACTATAGAAACATCAGACTATAGCAACCTCTAGACTATAGCAACATCAGACTATAGCAACATCAGACTATAGCAACTCAGAAGACTATAGCAACATCAGACTATAGCAACATCAGACTATAGCAACATCAGACTATAGCAACATCAGACTATAGCAACATCAGACTATAGCAACCATCGACTATAGCAACATCAGACTATAGCAACATCAGACTATAGCAACATCAGACTATAGCAAAACATCAGAAGACTATAGCAAACATCAGACTATAGCAACATCAGACTATAGCAACATCATCAGACTATAGCAACATCAGACTATAGCAACATACAGACTATAGCACATCAGACTATAGAAACATCAGACTATAGCAACATCGACTATAGCAACATCAGACTATAGCAACTCATCATACTATAGCAACATCATGACTATAGCAACATCAGACTATAGCAACATCAGACCTATAGCAACATCAGACTATAGCAAACATCATCAGACTATAGCAACATCAGACTATAGCAACATCAGACTATAGCATCATCAGACTATAGCAACATCAGACTATAGCAACATCAGACTATAGCAACATCATCAGACTATAGCAACATCAGACTATAGCAACATCAGACTATAGCAACATCAGACTATAGCACATCAGACATACAACATCATCAGACTATAGCAACATCAGACTATAGCAACATCAGACTATAGCAAATCAGACTATAGCAACATCAGACTATAGCAACATCAGACTATAGCAACATCAGACTTATAGCAACATCAGACTATAGCACTATCAGATATAGCAAACATCAGACTATAGCAACATCAGACTATAGCAACATCAGACTATAAGCAACATCAGAAATACTATAGCAACATCAGACTATAGCAACATCAGACTATAGCAACATCAGAAGATATAGCAACATCAGGACTATAGCAACATCAGACTATAGCAACATCAGACTATAGCAACATCAGACTATAGCAACATCAGACTATAGAACATCGACTATAGCATCATCAGACTATAGCAACATCAGACTATAGCAACATCAGACTATAGAAACATCAGACTATAGCAACATCAGACTATAGCAACATCAGACTATAGCAACATCAGACTATAGCAACATCAGACTATAGCAACATCAGACTATAGCAACATCAGACTATAGCACATCAGAAGACTATATAGCAACATCAGACTATAGCAACATCAGACTATAGCAACATCAGACTATAGCAACATCAGAAGACTATTAGCAACATCAGGACTATAGCATCATCAGACTATAGCACATCAGACATATAGCAAAAAAAAACATCAGACTATAGCAACATCAGACTATAGCAACATCAGACTATATCAACATCAGACTATAGCAACATCAGACTATAGCAACATCAGACTATAGCAACATCATCAGACTATAGCAACATCAGACTATAGCAACATCAGACTATAGCAACATCAGACTATAGCAACATCAGACTATAGCAACATACAGACTATAGCATCATCAGACTATAGCAACATCAGACTATAGCAACATCAGACTATAGCAACATCAGACTATAGCATCATCAGACTATAGCAACATCAGACTATAGCAACATCAGACTATGCAAACATCAGACTATAGCAACATCATCAGACTATAGCATCATCAGACTATAGCAACATCAGACTATAGCAACATCAGACTATAGCAACATCAGACTATAGCATCATCAGACTATAGCATCATCAGACTATAGCAACATCAGACTATAGCAAACATCATCAGACTATAGCATCATCAGACTATAGCAACATCAGACTATAGCAACAATCAGACTATAGCAACATCAGACTATAGCAACCATCAATCAGACTATAGCATCATCAGACTATAGCATCATCAGACTATAGCAACATCAGACTATAGCAACATCAGACTATAGCAACTATCAGACTATAGCAACATCAGACTGATCGCTCATAAGACTATACAACATCAGGACTATCAGCAACATAGACTATGCAATTCAGACTACTGCAAACATAGAAGATAGCAACTCAGACTATAGCAAACATTCAGAGATAGCAACATCAGACTATAGGCACTATCAGACTATAGCAACACTCGACTATGTAACATAACCAGACTTTAGGATCTCAGACTATAGCAACCAATCAGTACTTAGCAAACAGCTGCCCTACTACTTCTATCTTCCTATAATTCTTCCCTACTCCATCAGTATAGCAACAATCAGACTATTAGCAACATCAGACTATAGCAAAACATCAGACTATCGCAAATCAGAATATAGATCATCAGACTAAGCAAACATCACAATATAGAAACCATCAGACTATAGCAAACATCAGACCTATAGCAAACATCAGACCTTAGCAACATCAGACTATGCAACATCAGACTATTAGCCAACATCAGGACTATAGACAAAACATCAGTGATATAAGCAACCATCAGACTATAGCACATCAGACCTAAGCAAACATCAGACTATAGCAACATCAGACTATAGCAACATCAGACCTATAGCAACATCAGACTTATAGCAACATCAGACTATAGCAACATCAGACCTATAGCAACATCAGACTATAGCAACATCAGAACATCAGATGTGTCACTGTACATCAATGGTTTTCATGTTATAACCATCCTTGAAATTGTAAATGTAGGACTGACTGGTCAGGTCACCTGTGATTGGACAGGACTCTCCAGCTCTGCTACAATGTGTGTGACCTCTGGACTCATGAACTCCTCCTCATCTCCTTCATATGTCATGAGGTATTGGGCCAGTCTCTTCCTGTCTGAGGCTGTCAGGTTGTAGAAGAACACATGAACTCCTCTCATGAAGTCAGGAAGAGCAGGGCCAGGGGGGCTGAGGGTCCTGCTGCTCTGATTGGCTGTCTCTCCTTCCTCACTCCCTCTGTCTGAGCTCTGATTGGCTGTCTCTCCTTCCTCACTCCCTCTGTCTGAGTCAGGGCCAGGATACCGTGACACTGGGGGGGAGTGTGGAGGAGAGGGGGAGACTGAGACAGAGGGTGGGGAGGGGGAGACAGAGGGTGTGGAGGGGGAGACAGAGGGTGTGGAGGGGGAGACAGAGGATGGGGAGGGGGAGACAGAGGGTGGGGAGGGGGAGACAGAGGGTGTGGAGGGGGAGACAGAGGGTGGGGAGGGGGAGACGGAGGATGGGGAGGGGGAGACGGAGGATGGGGAGGGGGATGCTGCTGAGGCCTTGGAGGTAGAGGCTGATGCTGTGGAGGTCGTTGTGGACGTACCTAAAGCAGAGGTAGAGGCTGACTTGCTGTAGTAGTATCTGACAGACAGGCCAGTTAAGAACTAAACCTCCTGGACAAAACAAATCCTTCACAGCTTGAGTTCAGACAAACACATTTAGCACTAGATCCCTCAACACTTCTTCAACAAATGCAGTGCGGGGAAAAGGCCATTTGAACAACATACATTTTGTTTGCTTCCCAAATGGAATCCTATTCCTTTTAGAGTACACTACCTTTTACTAGAAAGGATACATGGAGGTGTGTTAGGGTTAGTAAAGGACTAGAAAGGATACATGGAGGTGTGTTAGGGTTAGTAAAGGACTAGAAAGGATACATGGAGGGGTGTTAGGGTTAGTAAAGGACTAGAAAGGATACATGGAGGGGTGTTAGGGTTAGTAAAGGACTAGAAAGGATACATGGAGGTGTGTTAGGGTTAGTAAAGGACTAGAAAGGATACATGGAGGTGTGTTAGGGTTAGTAAAGGACTGTTCAACCTCTCTTTCATAACGTCTGAGATCCCCAGAGATTGGAAAGCTGCCGCGGTCATCCCCCTCTTCAAAGGGGGTGACACTCTAGACCCAAACTGCTACAGACCTATATCCATCCTGCCCTGCCTTTCGAAAGTATTTGAAAGCCAAGTTAACAAACAGATCACCGACCATTTCGAATACCACCGTACCTTCTCCGCTATGCAATCCGGTTTCCGAGCTGGTCATGGGTGCACTTCAGCCACGCTCAAGGTCCTAAACGATATTATAACCGCGATTGATAATAGACAGTACTGTGCAGCCGTCTTCATCGACCTGGCCAAGGCTTTCGACTCTGTCAACCACCGCATTCTTATTGGCAGACTAAATAGCCTTGGTTTCTCAAATGACTGCCTCGCCTGGTTCACCAACTACTTCTCAGATAGAGTTCAGTGTGTCAAATCGGAGGGCCTGTTGTCTGGACCTATGGCAGTCTCTATGGGGGTGCCACAGGGTTCAATTCTTGGGCCGACACTTTTCTCCGTGTATATCAATGATGTCGCTCTTGCTGCTGGTGACTCTCAGATCCACCTCTACGCAGACGACACCATTTTGTATACATCTGGCCCTTCATTGGACACTGTGTTAACAAACCTCCAAACGAGCTTCAATGCCATACAACACTCCTTCAGTAGCCTCCAACTGCTCTTAAACACTAGTAAAACTAAATGCATGCTTTTCAATCGAACGCTGCTGGCACCTGCCCACCCGACTAGAATCACCACTCTCGACGGGTCTGACCTAGAGTATGTGGACAACTACAAATACCTAGGTGTCTGGTTAGACTGTAAACTCAACTTCCAGACTCACATAAAGAATCTCCAATCCAAAGTTAAATCTAGAATCGGCTTCCTATTTCGCAACAAAGCCTCCTTCACTCATGCTGCCAAACATGCCCTCGTAAAACTGACTATCCTACCGATCCTTGACTTCGGCGATGTCATTTACAAAATAGCCTCCAACACTCTACTCAGCAAATTGGATGTAGTCTATCACAGTGCCATCCGTTTTGTCTCCAAAGCCCCATATACTACCCACCAATGTGACCTGTACGCTCTTGTTGGCTGGTCCTCACTACATGTTCGTCGTCAAACCCACTGGCTCCAGGCCATCTATAAATCACTGCTAGGCAAATCCCCGCCTTATCTTAGCTCATTGGTCACCATAGCAACACCCACCCGTAGTCTGCGCTCCAGCAGGTATATCTCACTGGTCATTCCCAAAGCCAACACCTCCTTTGGCCGCCATTCCTTCCAGTTCTCTGCTGCCAATGACTGGAACGAATTGCAAAAATCTCTGAAGCTGGAGACTCTTATCTCCCTCACTAACTTTAAGCATCAGTTGTCAGAGCACCTTACCGATCACTGCACCTGTACACAGCCCATCTGAAATTAGCCCGCCCAACTACCTCATCCCTATATTGTTATTTATTTTGCTCTTTTGCACCCCAGTATCTCTATTTGCACATAATCTCTTGCACATCTATCATTCCAGTGTTAATACTATTGTAATTATTTTGCACTATGGCCTATTTATTGCCTTACCTCTGTGTTGTTTTTATCGCACTGCTTTGCTTTATCTTGGCCAGGTCGCAGTTGTAAATGAGAACTTGTTCTCAACTGGCTTACCTGGTTAAATAAAGGTGAAATAAAATAAAAAATAAAAATAAAGGATACATGGAGGTGTGTACCCCTCTCGAGGACAGGTGTTTCCTGAGGAGCCTCTCTGTTCCATACCAGTTAAACCCTCTGGTGGAGTGGCCGATACGGGGGAGGTGAACGCTAGCTAGGGGAGAGGAGAGAGGTGGATGACAGGGAAAAAAGGAGACACAAATGGAATCTTTAGTGACGTGTACAGCAGAGTAAATGGTCTCTCTCTCCAACTATGCACCAACTCCAACTCCCCCCCCCCCACCCACACACACACAGAGACATAAACAAACAGACAGACATAGACAGACTACCCTTGTTAGTCTTGGCGACCCTATAGATCTTCTGGAGTCCTTCTTCCAGAGCAGAGAGCTGGATCCCTGACAGGCTGTTGTCTCTGGCTCTCTGCTGGGCCACTACCAGAGCCACCTGGGGACAGACAGACAGACAGACAGACAGACATCACATCAGGCTGTTGTCTCTGGCTCTCTGCTGGACCACTACCAGAGCCACCTAGGGACAGACAGACAGACAGACATCACATCAGGCTGTTGTCTCTGGCTCTCTGCTGGGCCACTACCAGAGCCACCTGGGGACAGACAGACAGACATCACATCAGGCTGTTGTCTCTGGCTCTCTGCTGGACCACTACCAGAGCCACCTGGGGACAGACGGACAGACATCACATCAGGCTTTTGTCTCTGGCTCTCTGCTGGACCACTACCAGAGCCACCTGGGGACAGACAGACATCACATCAGGCTGTTGTCTCTGGCTCTCTGCTGGACCACTACCAGAGCCACCTGGGGACAGACATCACATCAGGCTGTTGTCTCTGGCTCTCTGCTGGACCCCGACCGACAGACCGACAGACCGACAGACCGACAGACCGACAGACCGACAGACAGTAGGAACCCATCACATTATTGACTGGCTTTCATCAAGCTGCCCACTCAAGAGAAAGCTTCAAACTGTAACCACTGCCTGCAACCTGATTCAGGTTATCAGTCAACCTACCAGGGTATTTACAAACAGCACAGGAATGAAATCATCAACATGTATTGCTCACATCTTTACTAATGCTGCAGAAATGTGCTTGAAAGCAGTATCCAAATCCATCTGATGTAGTGATCACAATATAGTAGCCATATCTAGGAAAACCAAAGTTCCAAAGGCTGGGCCTAATATAGTGTATAAGAGGTCATACAATAAGTTTTGTAGTGATTCCTATGTTGTTGATGTAAATAATAATTTGTTGGTCCGTAGTGTGTAATGAGGAGCAAACAGACACTGCACTTGACACAGCGTCTGTTATCCCAGTTACTAATAAGCACCCATTAAGAAAATGACTGTAAACTGTTAAATCCCAGTGGATTGATGAGGAATTGAAATATTGTATGGTTGAGAGGGATGAGGCAAAATAAATGGCAAATAAGTCTGGCTACACAACCGATTGGCAAACGTACTGCAAATTGAGAAATCATGTGACTAAACTGAATAAAAAGAATTAGAAACTATACTATGAAACAAAGATAAATGACAAAGAATGATGGTACCTTAAAACACCTTACATGAAATTTGGGGCAAAAAGGCAAACTCAGCCCCATCATTCATTGAATCAGATGGCTCATTCATCACAAAACCCACTGATATTGCCAATTACATTAATTATTTTTTCATTGGCAAGATTAGCAAACTTAGGCATGAAATGCCAGCAACAAATGCTGACACTACACATCCAAGTATAACTGATCAAATTATGAAAGACAAGCATTGTCATTTTGAATTCCTTAAAGCGTGGAAGAGGTGGAAAAATTATTGGTGTCTATCAACAATGACAAGCCACCGGGGTCTGACAACGGATGGAAAATTACGGACGATATTGCCACTCCTATTTGACATATCTTCAATTTAAGCCTACTAGAAAGTGTGTTCCCCCAGGCCTGGAGGGAAGCAATAGTAATTCCGCTACCTAAGAATAGTAAAGCCCCCTTTACTGGCTTTTGGAAAAAATTGTGCTTGACCAGATACAATGCTATTTTACTGTATGAATGAATGAATGAATGAATGAATGAATGACATTTTATTTTCGTGTAAAATCGCCAATTGGCAACCCCATCCCTTATGGGATTGACACATAAACAAACATTACAATAATTCACTGTGGTAATTAAATGATAATTCTTCTTCCGGTGTTCTCTGCATTACGCATCGCATAAAGAGTGACAACATGTAAGGTAAAAATCAATACATAACAGTAAATAAGGTTATCCAAACAATAATGATATCCCTAGAGCAGTAAAATAATATACATACACACTGTATATATACACATACATACATACATACATACATACATACATACATACATACATACATACATACATACATACATACATACATACAGTGGGGGAAAAAAGTATTTAGTCAGCCACCAATTGTGCAAGTTCTCCCACTTAAAAAGATGAGAGAGGCCTGTAATTTTCATCATAGGTACATGTCAACTATGACAGACAAAATGAGAGAAAAAAATCCAGAAAATCACATTGTAGGATTTTTAATGAATTTATTTGCAAATTATGGTGGAAAATAAGTATTTGGTCAATAACAAAAGTTTCTCAATACTTTGTTATATACCCTTTGTTGGCAATGACACAGGTCAAACGTTTTCTGTAAGTCTTCACAGGTTTTCTTCCATCAGCAAGGGCATTGAAGATGAAACGTGGCTGGGTCTTTCAGCATGACAATGATCCCAAACACACCGCCCGGGCAACGAAGGAGTGGCTTCGTAAGAAGCATTTCAAGGTCCTGGAGTGGCCTAGCCAGTCTCCAGATCTCAACGCCATAGAAAATCTTTGGAGGGAGTTGAGAGTCCGTGTTGCCCAGCGACAGCCCCAAAACATCACTGCTCTAGAGGAGATCTGCATGGAGGAATGGGCCAAAATACCAGCAACAGTGTGTGAAAACCTTGTGAAGACTTACAGAAAACGTTTGACCTGTGTCATTGCCAACAAAGGGTATATAACAAAGTATTGAGAAACTTTTGTTATTGACCAAATACTTATTTTCCACCATAATTAGCAAATAAATTCATTAAAAATCCTACAATGTGATTTTCTGGATTTTTTTTCTCTCATTTTGTCTATCATAGTTGACGTGTACCTATGAAGAAAATTACAGGCCTCTCTCATCTTTTTAAGTGGGAGAACTTGCATAATTGGTGGCTGACTAAATACTTTTTTCCCCCACTGTATCTGGTGGTCTGTCTCCTCAGCCACATAATGCCAGGGTATATCTGGTGGTCTGTCTCCTCAGCTACATAATGCCAGGGTATATCTGGTGGTCTGTCTCCTCAGCCACATAATGCCAGGGTATATCTGGTGGTCTGTCTCCTCAGCCACATAATGCCAGGGTATATCTGGTGGTCTGTCTCCTCAGCCACATAATGCCAGGGTATATCTGGTGGTCTGTCTCCCTCAGCCACATAATGCCAGGGTATATCTGGTGGTCTGTCTCCTCAGCTACATAATGCCAGGGTATATCTGGTGGTCTGTCTCCTCAGCTACATAATGCCAGGGTATATCTGGTGGTCTGTCTCCTCATGGCTCAGCCACATAATGCCAGGGTATATCAAGTGGTCTGTCTCCTCAGCCACATAATGCCAGGGTATATCTGGTGGTCTGTCTCCTCAGCTACATAATGCCAGGGTATATCTGGTGGTCTGTCTCCTCAGCTACATAATGCCAGGGTATATCTGGTGGTCTGTCTCCTCAGCCACATAATGCCAGGGTATATCTGGTGATCTGTCTCCTCAGCTACATAATGCCAGGGTATATCTGGTGGTCTGTCTCCTCAGCCACATAATGCCAGGGTATATCTGGTGGTCTGTCTCCTCAGCCACATAATGCCAGGGTATATCTGGTGGTCTGTCTCCTCAGCTACATAATGCCAGGGTATATCTGGTGGTCTGTCTCCTCAGCTACATAATGCCAGGGTATATCTGGTGGTCTGTTCCTCAGCCTACTAATGCCAGGGTATATCTGGTGGTCTGTCTCCTCAGCTACATAATGCCAGGGTATATCTGGTGGTCTGTCTCCTCAGCCACATAATGCCAGGGTATATCTGGTGGTCTGTCTCCTCATGGTTCAGCCACATAATGCCAGGGTATATCTGGTGGTCTGTCTCCTCATGGTTCAGCCACATAATGCCAGGGTATATCTGGTGGTCTGTCTCCTCAGCTACATAATGCCAGGGTATATCTGGTGGTCTGTCTCCTCAGCCACATAATGCCAGGGTATATCTGGTGGTCTGTCTCCTCATGGCTCAGCCACATAATGCCAGGGTATATCTGGTGGTCTGTCTCCTCAGCCACATAATGCCAGGGTATATCTGGTGGTCTGTCTCCTCAGCCACATAATGCCAGGGTATATCTGGTGGTCTGTCTCCTCATGGTTCAGCCACATAATGCCAGGGTATATCTGGTGGTCTGTCTCCTCATGGTTCAGCCACATAATGCCAGGGTATATCTGGTGGTCTGTCTCCTCAGCTACATAATGCCAGGGTATATCTGGTGGTCTGTCTCCTCAGCCACATAATGCCAGGGTATATCTGGTGGTCTGTCTCCTCAGCCACATAATGCCAGGGTATATCTGGTGGTCTGTCTCCTCAGCTACATAATGCCAGGGTATATCTGGTGGTCTGTCTCCTCAGCTACATAATGCCAGGGTATATCTGGTGGTCTGTCTCCTCAGCCATATAATGCCAGGGTATATCTGGTGGTCTGTCTCCTCAGCTACATAATGCCAGGGTATATCTGGTGGTCTGTCTCCTCAGCTACATAATGCCAGGGTATATCTGGTGGTCTGTCTCCTCAGCCACATAATGCCAGGGTATATCTGGTGGTCTGTCTCCTCAGCCACATAATGCCAGGGTATATCTGGTGGTCTGTCTCCTCAGCCATATAATGCCAGGGTATATCTGGTGGTCTGTCTCCTCAGCTACATAATGCCAGGGTATATCTGGTGGTCTTTCTCCTCAGCCACATAATGCCAGGGTATATCTGGTGGTCTGTCTCCTCAGCCACATAATGCCAGGGTATATCTGGTGGTCTGTCTCCTCAGCCACATAATGCCAGGGTATATCTGGTGGTCTGTCTCCTCAGCTACATAATGCCAGGGTATATCTGGTGGTCTGTCTCCTCAGCTACATAATGCCAGGGTATATCTGGTGGTCTGTCTCCTCAGCCACATAATGCCAGGGTATATCTGGTGGTCTGTCTCCTCAGCTACATAATGCCAGGGTATATCTGGTGGTCTGTCTCCTCAGCCACATAATGCCAGGGTATATCTGGTGGTCTGTCTGGAATTAGACCAAGCGTATTTCGTGGTAGAAAAGACAATAGAGGATAAAATGAGTTTCATCCTCTATTTCTTCCAGGTCACGATAGTTACAGTCTTTCCTCTTCCGTTTCACCTCAATACCGAGCTGTTTCAATACGCAGAGGCAATATCCCTGATCTTACCTGCCATCTCTTGCGTTTAGGTAGGTTAAACATAATATATCTCTCACACACAAATTCACCCTTAATCAAACAAAAGGTTCTCAATTTGGGTTTATGATTCATCTCCTCCACCCATTTTTCTTTCATATTGCATCAACAGTTGTATTTGAATCATATCTATTTCTCCCTTAATTTGGTTTTCGTACAGATGTTCACAGTCAGACTGTTGGAAAAGGTCAGACATTTCAGTTGCCCAGGCCTCCCCCTATGGATAGATCCCATTGGAAAACTTTACAGTCTATTCTGTCAGTTGTCATATCCAACAGTCTATTCCAAAGTCTCACCTTACACGCCTTCCATTTCCCAGGGTTCCCAGCCCATGTCCCCAGTTTGGAATACGTAGCATAACCAATATCTTTGAGTGTTTTTGTTTTTCCTATAACTCCCTGAGTCGGCCAGGGCAGATGGTCCGTATAGAAAGGTCATATGTTCATCAATAAAAAGACCCAAATATTTATAATTGCTAGTAAACTCAAAGATTGTCTTCACCAAAACAAAACTGAAAAACACTTCTCTTAGTACCTGGTTTTCTAAAATGCATTATCTGTGTTTTTGTCTGATTGATCATGAGTCTCCATCTGTTACACCAGTTGATGCACATAATAACATGGTCTGCAGGTCTTGTTCAGTTTCTGCATCAAAATAACATCATCAGCATATAAAAGGATACTCAGCGTTTCATCATCATATCTTACTCCAATATTTAACTGTTTAATTTATTTTGTCAAATCATTTATAAACATGGCAAACAAAGTCGGTGATAAGGCGTCTCCTTGTTTTGCACCGGAGGGTAACCAAGGGAAACCAATCTGTTCCATATTCATTAACATGCACACAAGCAATTGGTACTTTGTAAAGAGACTGAATTGCGTGATAAAATCTCCCATCTTTAACAAACTATAGGCGAAAAGATCCCTATTTACAAAATCAAAAGCTTTCTGAAAATCAATGAAACGCAAAAGGTAGGCTTCTCTTTGTGTAATCTATTTCTGATTATTGTACAGACCGCTCTATTTTTGTCTCATCAGACCACATGGGGGACCAGTATGAAAAACAAAAATAAAAAATGTATTCACTAACTGTAAGTCGCTCTGGATAAGAGCGTCTGCTAAATGACTAAAATCTAAAATGTAAATGTAAATCTATACAGGCTCTGGATTTACAGAAACCATTTTTGTTCTTCCACCAGAATGTTTTCATCCTCCAGAAAGGTCATCAGCCTGTTGTTGAGGATGGATGAATATCATTTATAGACCGTACTTAATAAACATTTTTTGAAGGTTTGGGAATGGGATTCGCTATAGACTTATACCAAGTGTATGGCAGTATACTGTACTCCAAACTAATTTGGAGCAAAATCATATAGAACGTCCATTCATTTAGGGGATTTTAAAACTTCATTAGGCAGTTCATCAATGCCAAACGCTTTCCCATTTTTTGCAGCGTCAATCACCTTCTTTACTTCTGCCACTAACAGCTCCTCATTTAAGTACGGGTTACACATATATATTAATACAGTCAGGTCCATAAATATTTGGACATTGACCAAGGTGTTATTATTGTAGCTGTCTACCACAGCATGTTGGAATTAAATAATGAATATGAGCTGAAAGTGCCGACTTTCAGCTTTAATTTGAGGGTGTTAACATCCAAATTGGGTGAACGGTGAAGGAATTACAGCACTTTCTCTACGTAAGCTGTCAACTTCACTATTCATTCCTTTTTCAATCCTCAGCTTCATTTGGTCCATCTTTGTAGCTAGGCTCCTCCTCTCCGTCACGAGAGTAGCCACGCTATTGGCACTTTCTTTCTTTCATAAATGAGTCTCCATGTTTTTCTCACCACTGTGTAGATTTCTACCGGAGTCCATATGTTTGAAATAATAAAATAATTAGTCATTTAGCAGACGCTCTTATCCAGAGCGACTTACAGGAGCAATTAGGGTTAAGTGCCTTGCTCAAGGGCACATCGACAGATTTTTCACCTAGTCGGCTCGGGGATTAGAACCAGCGACCTTTCGGTTACTGGCACAACGCTCTTAACCACTAAGCTACCTGCCGGCCTATAGCGGTTCAGTGTTTCTGTTATTCCGTTCAATGTATAGCCAGGCTAGCCAGATTACTCGCCAAACATTCCCCAACAAGTCTGTCAATTGACTGTCTTTCACCCTCACGGGATTCAGACTTCAGCAGCCTCCATTTACGGGCCGATCTCTATGTTTTAAACTTTGAAAACGTTTAAATTAAAAACGTTTTGAAAGGTCCCATAAAGAAGCAGCATAATTTTTTCACTGTGTACACCGTTTTCACAGCTCGGACACCCATGCATACCCCACAAGACATGCCACCAGAGGTCTCTTCACAGTCCCCAAGTCCAGAACACACTATGGGAGGCGCACAGTACTACATAGAGCCATGACTACATGGAACTCTATTCCACATCAGGTAACTGATGCAAGCAGTAGAATCAGATTTTAAAAACAGACAGAAATACACGTTATGGAACAACGGGGACTGTGAAGAGACACACACAAGCACAGACACATGTTGTATGTGTGGGGTACAGAGATGAGGTAGTCATTCAAAAATCATGTTAAACACTGTTATTGCACACAGAGTGAGTCCATGCAACTTATTATGTGACTTGTTAAGCACATGTTTACTACTGAACTTATTTAGGCTTGCCATAACAAAGGGGTTGAATACTTATTGACTCAAGACATTCCAGCTTTTCATTTCTTATTCATTAGTACAAATGTCAAAAAACACAATTCCACTTTTACATTATGGGGTATTGTGTTTAGGCCAGTGACAACAAATCTGAATTTAATCAATTTTAAATTCAGGCTGTAACAACAAAATGTGGAAAAAGTCAAAGGGTATGAATACTTTCTGAAGGAACTGAACCATTAACACTCTGACAATAAGTATGTTAGGTCATGGCACAGACACTTATCTGTGTGTTGAGAGGGTGTGTGTGTGTGTGTGTGTGTGTGTGTGTGTGTAACTGGTAGAATCTGAACCCACCTGGACATCAACCATTAGACCTAGAGGAAATTCCCTGGTGGGCTGAGGGTGACAGGGCTGAGGGTGACAGGGCTGAGGGTGACAGGGCTGAGGGTGACAGGGCTGAGGGTGACAGGGCTGAGGGTGACAGGGCTGAGGGTGACAGGGCTGAGGGTGACAGGGCTGAGGGTGACAGGGCTGAGGGTGACAGGGCTGAGGGTGACAGGCAGGTCTACCTGTGATTCTAAATCATCTCTTCTTACCTGGTCTTGACCATCCAGTCTGGACTGTTTATCATCAACAGGGAACAGCAACACAGATCCCAGCTCCAAGTCTGAAACAGAAAGATCTCTGATTTACTGGTGTGTGATGGCAGGACAGTTACAACTCGGTGTAGGTCTAAGGCACTGTACAGCCGTACAGACAGCAGACTGAGACGTCTAGGACCAGTGCTGCCGTACAGACAGCAGACAGACGTCTAGGACCAGTGCTGCCGTACAGACAGCAGACAGACGTCTAGGACCAGTGCTGCCGTACAGACAGCAGACTGAGACGTCTAGGACCAGTGCTGCCGTACAGACAGCAGACTGAGACGTCTAGGACCAGTGACTGCCGTACAGACAGCAGACTGAGACGTCTAGGACCAGTGCTGCCGTACAGACAGCAGACTGAGACGTCTAGGACCAGTGCTGCCGTACAACAGCGACAGACGTCTAGGACCAGTGCTGCGTACAGACAGCAGACAGACGTCTAGGACCAGTGCTGCCGTACAGACAGCAGACAGACGTCTAGGACCAGTGCTGCCGTACAGACAGCAGCAGACGTCTAGGACCATGCGCCTACAGACAGCGACGAGTTAGGACCAGTGCTGCCGTACAGACAGCAGACAGACGTCTAGGACCAGTGCTGCCGTACAGACAGCAGACTGAGACGTCTAGGACCAGTGCTGCCGTACAGACAGCAGACTGAGACGTCTAGGACGCTTTTTACTTAACGTTATTGAGGGAATTAAGAAGCAAAATATAGTTTTCCATCAAAATAATAATTATTGTGAGCCAATTAAGGAGTTTGCATATGTCGCAAGAGAAAATATCATTTTCCATCAATGGATGTCGATTTAACTCGTTTGACCGCTTTCGATTGGCATGTACAGTACATAACTATAGATAAATCCCACAGGACAGTTTGAGTGATGAAAGTCGGACAGAGGATCTCAATCTCTGCGCAAGAAACACTTGGACGAACTTCAATGGCAACTTTGCCTTATTCTATGCCAGATATTAAGACTACAAACCGTTTTAAATAGCTAGGCACAGAGCCAGGGTCTCTGACAGCGCCCTGTGAAATGACCCGCTGTAAACAACAAACACTGTTTTCTCTTTGATTAGCATTCGGGATAATGTGTTTCCAGGTCTGTACTGTGTTGTGGCGTCAACACATTGTATATCAGCTTACACTGGACATCTTCATAGGGTTAGAAAACTACCAGAAATAAACTGCACAACATGGAAGTGTCAATTATCACTTAGCAACAGCTATGGAGGAGAAAGTCTCTGGACATTCAGACAGACTGGCCCTACTCTCTATAGACACACTCAGTGGCCAGTTAATTAGGTACACCACCACGTTCTCAAAATGGTTCACTCCTACAGACAGTGAGTCACGTGGCCGTGGCTTGCTATATAAAGCAGGCAGACAGGCATCCGGTTACTGTTTGAACGTTAGAATGCAATACACCTAGTCACTACAAAGATACAGGCGTCCTTCCTAACTCAGTTGCCGGAGAAGAAGGAAACTGCTCAGGGATTTCACCATGAGGCCAATGGTGACTAAACAGTTACAGAGTTTAATGGCTGTGATAGGAGAAAACTGAGGATGGATCAACAACATTATAGTTACTCCACAATACTAACCTAAATGACAGAGCGAAAAGCACTTAAGTAATGCTGCAAAAAATGTGGCAAAGCAATTAACTGTAAGTCCTGAATACATAGTGTTATGTTTGGGGCAAATCCAATACAACACATTACTGTGTACCACTCTCTATATTTTCAAGCATAGTGGTGGCTGCATCATGTTATGGGTATGCTTGTAATCATTAAGGACATGAGTTTTTCAGGATAAAAAATGTACGGAATGGAGCTAAGAACAGGCAAAATCCTAGAGGAAAACCTGGTTCCACCAGTTTCACCTTTCAGCAGGACAATAATCTAAAACACAAGGCCAAATCTACACTGGAGTTGTTTACCAAGAAGACAGTGAATGTTCCTGAGTGGCCGAGTTAGTTTTGACTTAAATCTGGTTGAAAATCTATGGCAAGACCTGAAAATGGCTGTCTAGCAATGATCAACAACCAATTAGACAGAGCTTGAAGAATTGTATAATAATAATGTGCAAATATTGTATAATCCAGGTGTGCAAAGCTCTTAGAGACTTACCCAGAAAGAATCACAGCTGTAATCGCTGCCAAAGGTGATTCGAACATGTATTGACTCAGGGGCTTGAATACTTATCTAATCAAGATGTATTAGTGTATCATTTTTTATATATTTTTTAATAAAAATGTTCGAATTTTTCTTCCACTTTGACATCACAGAGTATGTTTTGTAGACTGTTGACAAAAATTACAATTGAATCAATTTTAATCCCACTTTGTAACACAACT